ACCTGTTGGGATGAGCACTGGGTGTTATGTGGAAACCAATTTGACAGTAAATTTCATATTAAAAAAAAGATTTTATTTTTAAGTAATCTCTACACCCAATGTGAGGCTTGAGCCCACAACCCCAAATGAGCCAGCCAGGTACCCCAACGGCTTTTTTCTTTAAATTTTTGCTGCTGTATTTTCATTTTCTAAGATGATTTTGTTTTTCAGATGTTTCAGTGGTCCTTATCTTCTTTTATTTCTCTGACAACATAAATTTTTTTCTGCTCCCAGCTTGGTCTTTATCTTCACAGTTCATTTTCTTCTGTTTGTTTTGCTCTTTTCTTTCATGTTAGCATTTTCCTCACATGTGATAATCCTGGGCCAGCCTTTTATATTTAAAAGTAAGGTACTAAAACGCGAGTGGAGCTGTGGGCAATGCTTGTTAACTAGCAGGAAGCTGGACATTTCACTGGGGCCCCACAGATGTCAGTGTCTGTGGATCTTCTCTTTTGGGCCTGTTTTCTCAGGGAAATCCTCTTTTTTATTACCTGCATATGTATGAGACTGTCCCCGAACTGTGGGGAGAAAGGTGCTTCCTCTGTTAGGGAGGGAGGGCTCTAGGAGGGAGGGTCTTATTGTTCCCAGGCAGAATTTCACTCATTGCCACTGCTTTTAGTCATCTGTCTCATTCCCACTCACATTTGGGCCTCTCTGGTTCACTCTCTGCAAATAGTAAACCTTCGGACTTCTCGCTGGAGGGAAGCACCAGGCACAAGAGAAGACATCTGGGATATGTGTTGCTGATGCATGCATACGTGCTACCCAGTGTAGCTGGGATCTAAATTGATTTCTTTAGAAACATATAAAATTTATAATCTCGATAAATATACCAATTTAGTAGTTCTTTCTGAAAAACAGAACTGCCTAGGAGGATCATTCTGAAGAAATTCTGAAGAAAATTCTGTGTGATTTCTGGGCTATACATTTTCCTCCTTGGTTTGGTCTCTTTCAGAGCAAATTGGAGCTTTGGCAGATCAGCACATTGTCCATGTGGCATGTGGTGAGTCCCACAGTCTGGCCCTCAGTGACCGGGGCCAGCTGTTTTCGTGGGGTGCAGGGAGTGATGGTCAACTGGGACTCATGACTACTGAGGATTCGGTGGCAGTGCCCAGGTAAGAATGTCATGGGCAGGAATCTGACTTTTCAGATATCAGTTTTATAAATTCTGTTTCTTGCTGTTGCTTTGTTAGACTCTTTGTTTTTGGTTCTACTTTATTTAATTGCTATTCTTTTTTGGTGCCACTGCTGTGCCTTATACTTTATAGCATGTATCACAAAAATTGTAATTATTTATAGAAATGTCTATCTCCAGTTAAAAAAATGTGAGTTGTTCAAGAATTGTACTTTATTTATTCTAGTAACGTAGTTGCTAGCATAGTATTTGAAACTCAATAAATGTTTGAATAAATCATCTTTTCACTTGCTGGACTTAGTAACCTTTAATTTAAAATTGTAAGCCTAAATCAATTACTCAGTTAAGGACTTTAAACTACAATCAAAAGGTTGACCCACTACTCTAAAAATAAGCCATTATGAGCATTATGAGCAGCTAAAATAGCATACAGAAGTTTTTTTTAACACAAAAATATTAATTATTCATTTTGAGTCTCAAATATTTACTTAAATTCTGAATCTTAGATGGTTTAATTAAGTATCCATCAGATGCTTCACCACTAAGTAAATATTCAAAATAATGAAATCACTTCCAGGTGAACTTCTTAGGGGTAGAGTCTCAGTTTTTCAAGAGTTCTTGATGATTAAAGAGGCCACCAGTTTATTTCCTTCATTTAATTCCTGTGTTTTTTTTTATATTACAAATATATATAGCATCCCCCTACAAGAGTATTTGTCATATTCTCTGTAACTGTTTTTTTAATGACTATCTGTTGTACAAAGCTGGGAGCTCTTGATGGCATGAGACCTAGATTATTCATTTTAGCATCACTGTTGTTAAGGGTGCCCAGCACATGTGCTGCTTATTGCAAATCTGTTTAATAAACAACCTCTCCTTCCCTGCCCAGTTATTGTCCCCTTTAGAGAACCAAATACTCTTCTTCCTCTTCCTTTTTGCCCTTCTTCGATTTATGTCTCTTTAATCAAAAGCTGTTTTAAGGAAAAGAGGAACATGAAGAGTGATTTGATTCACTTCCTGATTTAGAACAGCTAATGTCTTGGATTTATTTTTTCCAAAAATTAGTTTAATTTGGGGGGAGAGAGTGGCAATAAAAAAAAGGGTGCTATATATATTTTAATCAGACTGTGTGATAATTAGGGAAAAGATTTATAACATAAATGACAAAAATATTTCACTTGTTGATTACCAAAGACTCAAAGGTTTTTAGTGGCATTTCATTTCTAAAAGTGAAGTAACTTGTGTTATAGGAACGATTTAATTTTTGTTAGTCATATCTAAATTATGGATGACTTCTGAGGCCTTGGTTTGTATATAATTTTATATTTTAACTTAGTTGAAATAAATTTGTTATTTCATATCCTAGCATTGTGGAAAGTAACATAGCTTTGAACTCAAACAGCTTCAGATTCTATCCTAATACAGTTTTATTATTTATTAGGTGGGTGACCTTGAACAAACTGTTTAATTTATCTAAACCTCGATTTCTTAACTTAAAAGTGGTATTATGTATTGTGTGCCTTTAAGAAGTTACTGGGAAGGGGGCGCCTGGGTGGCGCAGTCGGTTAAGCGTCCGACTTCGGCCAGGTCACGATCTCGCAGTCCGGGAGTTCGATCCCCGTGTCAGGCTCTGGGCTGATGGCTCGGAGCCAGGAGCCTGTTTCCGATTCTGTGTCTCCCTCTCTCTCTGCCCCTCCCCCGTTCATGCTCTGTCTCTCTCTGTCCCAAAAATAAATAAATGTTGAAAAAAAAAAAAAAAAGTTACTGGGAGGATAGAATGAGATGCGTAGGTAAAACATACTATATGCTTGCATTCTTTATATATCCCTCCTCTCCACCTCAAGGCTATAATTTCTCTGTTGTTTATCTTTGTCCTTTTGATCTGCTTCCTTTCTATGTGATTATGAAGGTTGTGACAAGAATAATGGTTGACCCATGAAGGGAGAATCATAGGGAATTTGAGTGGAAACTGGCCAAGGAAAAAAGGACTCTTACTGCATAAAATTTCTGAAACATTGGTCCCTTAGGTAGTAATACATTTTCCAATTTTAAAAAGTAGTGGGGTTCTACATGCTATTGATACACGTAACAACTTGGATGAATGTCCAGGGAATTATTCTGAGAGGGAAAAAGAGCCAATCCCAAAAGTTTACCTGCTGAATGCTTTCATTTATATAACGTTCTTGAAATGAAAGAATTTTGGAAATGGAAGATAGATTAATGGTTGTCAAGGGCTAGGATAGGGGAGGGGAGCAGTGGTTATAAAAGTATAACATGAAGAATCCTCATGATGTTTGAACCATTCAGTATCTTGATTGTGGTGGTGGATACATGAACCTATACAGGTAATAAAATTAATACACAGAATTGAGTATAAATAAAGCTAGGGAAATAGGAGTAAGATTTGTAGATTTTATTAATATTAGTATCCTGGTTATGATTTTTATACTGTGGATTCACAAAATGTCACCACTAGTGGAAACTGGACAGAGTATACATGTGATCTCTCTGTACTATTTTTTTTTAATTTACTTATTATTTTTATTTGTCAACTTTTTATTTAAATTCTAGGTAGTTAACACGTAGTGTAATATTTCTATATTATTTCCTATAACTGTATGTGAATCTACAATTATCTCAATAAACAATAGTTGGGTTCTATTTGGTGCTAAATGCATATGTGAACTCTGTTATATAAACTTTTTGTATGTGAGAAAATAAAACATTAACAAAAGCAATATGTCCTTGCCACTCTAAATAATTTCTTCCCCACTGGGCATCTATATTCTAAGACACCCCTCTCCCGAGGGCGTGTCCATCTGACTCCTTTGTTCCGTTGGCATAGACTTAATGCAGAGGAACATGGCAACTTGCAAGCTGTTACAATAGGGAACAGGAGATATTCCCAGGTGCCCAATTCTGTGGGGCAGCACCAGGCACATTGCATGGAGTTTTTTCATTTATTTTTTTACCACAGCCTGTAAAATAAGTACTGTTCTTGTCCCTGTCTTTCACATGAACAAGCAGAGGAGCAGGATTTGAAATGTATTCATATGATTTTCCTCTTTATCATCCTAGGGAATTTGGGTTTTGCCCTTATTTTTTAAAAATTGTGGTAAACAAAAATTGTAAAATACACCAAACATAAAATTTTCCATCTTAACCATTTTTAAGTGTGTAGTGCAGTAATGTTAAGTATACTTACATAGTTATATGAACAGTCTCCATAAATTGTAAAAACCTATCTTGCAAAAATTGAAGTCTACCCATTAAACAGCAACTCCCTGTTTCTCATCATCAGACTTGATTTGTATGAATTTGAGTACTCTTGATATCTCTCATAAGTGTATTCATAAGATATTTGCCTTTTGTTACTGGATAATTTCACTTAGCATAATGTCTTCTAGTTTCACCCATACTGCAGCATATGTCAGAGTTTCCATTTTTTCGAAGGCTGATTAATATCCCATTGTATGAATATATGACATTTTGTTTTTCCACTCATCTATTGATGGACACTTGAGTTGCTTCTACCTTTTGGCCATTGTGAATAATGCTGTTCTGAACATGGGTCTACAAGTATCTCTTTGGGACCCTGCTTTCAATTCTTCTAGATATGTACCCAGAAGTGGGATTGCTGGATCATGGCATTGCCCTCATTTTAAAAACCATTTAGACACCAGCCATATTCCTGGGCATCTCTGTTCCATAACTTACTCCATTTGCCCCTCAATTGGAGATGAGAAGGTGGGAATTAACAGAGTTATGGTAGTCGGTTTAAGTGCAGACATGTTTTTTATTTTGTTTCGTTTTGTTTTTTAACAGTAGCTGCCTAACAGTAACTCCTAACCTAGGAGGTTGGTGAAAGAACTAGTAGAATTATATCATGTAAGATCATGTATTTGATTTTTAAAAGTCTTCTAGGAAAGATGTTATTGATTACAACTGTTGGGAATATTCCTGATCATTGTGCATGCCTCTTAAGAGGAAAACCTTTTCTGTTTCAGGTTAATACAAAAACTGAACCAGCAGACGATATTACAAGTTTCCTGTGGCAACTGGCATTGCTTGGCTCTTGCAGCTGGTAATGTAACATTGAAATATTATGCTAACATTATGTTAATTTGGGAAACATTTCTCTTTGCATATATAGGTGATGTTATCTTACCGGACACCTTTAACTAACTGGTTAGGGTCTGTGCAGTGCTGTTGGACAGTGGCATTTCTCAGACAGCCTTTGTGCAGCTTTTCTCAGAGTGTGGACAATGAAGAAGGTGGTCATCAGTGCTCTCAGGGGAGGATGAGTAGGAGGAAGGACCCAACCTCAGTGCTCTTGAACATACAGAAGATTGGTTTTTTGTAGCTACAGTCAAGCTACATTCTACTATCAAGCTTCTAAATAAGTGAAAAAGAAGGTGTTAGAGAAACCTAAGCCAGCAAATAATAATGCATTCCATGTTAGAATAAATTTGAGGGGCAGTTGGTACCAACATGTGCTTGATCCTCTGTGAGATAGTCCAGGTAGAAGCTGGACCTTATGAGCCCTGGGTTTCATGATCTTGGTGTGGTTAGAACTAGTTCAGCTTGTTTAGTGGATCTAAGCCTGGTAACTGGTCTATGCAAAACTGAATTGACGTAAACATTTAATTTTTTCTTTGCGTAAATGTTCATAGCCTTCAAAGGGCAGTAAGACTCAGTTTATCTCTCTGTTGTCATGACAAGTGGGAGTTTTGGTTTTGGCAGTCTTAATAGTATGAAGTGTCTGTCCCTCGCTCTCAGGAGAGTTTGGTGCGTTGAAGGGGAGCAACTAACAAATGACTCTGCTGGGCAACTATGTTGTTCTAATGAGGTTATTTTTGTGAATGGAACTTGTATCATTTCTCATAATACTAGTTATCCTGTTTTTATTTCAGATGGTCAGTTCTTCACCTGGGGAAAGAATAGCCATGGGCAGCTGGGCCTGGGGAAGGAGTTCCCCTCCCAGGCTAGCCCACAGAGGGTGAGGTCCCTGGAGGGCATCCCCCTGGCTCAGGTGGCTGCAGGAGGAGCTCATAGCTTTGCCCTGTCTCTCTCAGGAGCAGTTTTTGGCTGGGGGATGAATAATGCAGGGCAGCTAGGGCTCAGTGATGAAGAAGGTAAGCAAACTCTTTATATGTATCTCTCTCTCTCTCTTTTTTTTTTTTTTTCAAAAGCCCAGCTTATTTGTTTAACACATGCTTCTTGAGAGTCTGCTATGTGCTGGACCCATGTTAGGTACTAAGGGTGCAACAGTGAACAAGAAAGATAATACCTTTGGCTTAGTGGAGATTGCATGCTAGTGGGCAGAAGTAAACAACAGACCAGTAAATATATAGTATGTCAGAGGGTTTGAGAGAAGAGTTAACCTGTTTTACATAAGGCTTCCTGGGAGGGTCTGCTTGATAAGATATTTGAGCAGACAGAGCCCTGCAGTCAAAGGGAACAGGGTGTATAGAGGCTGTGATGTGGGAAGATAGATGGTGTGCTCGAGTGAAATGAGAGGGGAGAAGAGTAGCAGAGCTGGAGATCAGAGACGCAGTATAGGCCCAGTGACGCAGGGCCCTATAAGGCAAAGGAAAGATTTTGGCTTCCCTCAGTGAAAGGGGAAGACACCGGAGGTTTTGAGGAGAAGAGTGATCTAATTTCACTTTGGCTATCACGGGTCCAGGGGAGGCTAGAAGACCAGTTTGGAGACAGTGGGAATAAAGTTGGATTTTAATATACTTTGAAGGCGGAGCCAGTTGGTTTTGCACATTGTTGGGTGTGTGGTTTGAAATAAAAAGAGAACTAGAAAGATAAAGGTACCATTTATGGAATGAGGAAAACTGTGTGTGCGTGCGCATGTGTGCATGTGTGTGTGTGTGTGTGGTGCGTGCGGTGAGAGTGGGCAGAGTTGGAAAGTGTGGGGAAACCATGAGTTAGGTTTTAGATGTATTAAAAACGAGATGTCTGGGATGCCTGGGTGGCTCAGTCAAGTGTTAGACTCTTGATTTCGGCTCAGGTCATGATCTCATGGTTCTTGAGATCAAGCCTCACATCGGGCTTCATGCTGGTAGTGCATAGCCTGCTTGAGATTCTCTCTCTCTCCCTCTTTCTCTCTGCCCCTTATCCCCTCAAAAATAAATAACCCTAAAAAAACATGTTATCTGCTAGACATTCCAGTGGACATGGAGGCAGAAAGGAGAATCCAGGGGGACCCAAAATTCATGTCTAGATAGCTGTGTTTGATATTTCATCTCAAAGACAAAATGGTAGTGACATTCTGATTTTTCTCTTATTTTAGATCGAGAGTCTCCTTGCCACGTGAAACTCTTACGAACCCAAAAAGTCGTCTATATTAGTTGTGGAGAAGAACACACAGCAGTCCTCACAAAAGTAAGGGACTCAGAGTGTTCTGGTTTGTTCTGTGATGCTTTCTTTGGTGCTAGATATGACACAGATGATTATTATTACTTGATTATTTTTGATAGCGTTTTTTAGCATAGTGATGGTGTTTAAAAATAGTTCAATATAATCTTAAAATATATAGTAACATTTTTTGTTCCTGTAAAACAATTAAATATGTGAAAAATAAAGAGCAATGTACTTAATGTTTTAAAATTATCAACTTATTTCATCTAAAACAGTTATATCTAGAGAGAATGAAAATGTATTTTTACATTGAACAAATACTGTTATAGATTCACTTTACTAAAATGTCTTAGCATTTATTCAAGTACAGCAGGGAATAAAGTAGCTCACTCACCAAGGAGTTTGTGGAGTATTTAATTTATTATATACGAATGATTGTGCAAAATCATGCCATGTCATCTACCTCTGTTTCTCCTTATTTTGTTTGCTTCCGAACACATCATTGTACTTTTAAACAACTTTCGAAATTTAAAGATGGCGCCTATTCCCTTGAGCAGTGCTTTGTTCCATAAAGATATAGTTTTAATTTCCTTTATTATTATTATTTTTTATTTAATGAACATACTAAAGATGTGATTTGGGTGAAGGATCATGTGAGTGTAGTGTTCTTGTACAGACTGCTGTGATAAGAATTTTGCATACAGAGATTTTTAGAGGAGTGTACTCAAACTCAGAGATACAGTGCGGTCATGTGGTATTTGTCCCTTGTTAGAGTGGAGGTGTGTTTACCTTTGGTGCTGGTTCCTGTGGGCAACTTGGACATGATTCCATGAATGATGAGGTTAATCCAAGAAGAGTTCTGGAGCTGATGGGCAGTGAAGTAACGCAGATTGCTTGTGGCCGGTGAGTGCTCCTCAGAGCTTCCTAGTGTCTATTAAGACCCAGAAATGAATTTTGTCTTTGTCGTGACCAAGCATATGGATCAGTATCTTAAGAGATCTTAACTGCATACACACCTATGGGGAAAGTTTGGAGAGAGTCTAATCTGAGCAGTGTGTGACAAGGATGGGTTTGAGATGAGTGGATCAAGTTGGGGACATTAGGTTTCTTCTGGGATAAAGACTGGTAGGATGGGGGGAAGACATGAAGAAAGGAAAGTGAGAGAGCCTCAAAGAACTTCTTGGAAATTTTGCCTGGTCCACCCTGCTTTTTCTCTGTCATCCCACAGGCCAAATACAGCAGGCCATGCAGCCTTTTCTAAGTCTTGCCCATCCTTCTTGTTGCCTAGAGTCTCAGAGAAGGGCAGCATTATGGAGACCCAGCTGCTGCTTGCTTGTAAACAGTCACATGTAAATGTGGGGTAGGATTTCTTAGGGGCATCCCTAGGTATTTCTGTGCTCACATGTGGTGGTTAAAAGAGTCTGAGTGTATATCCCTATTAGTAGAAACTATGCTGGTAAGTTATTTTAAATTATTTTTCCCCAGACAACACACTCTAGCCTTCGTGCCTTCTTCTGGACTCATCTATGCATTCGGTTGTGGAGCAAGAGGTCAATTGGGAACCGGACACACTTGTAACGTTAAGTGCCCATCCCCTGTGAAAGGTTACTGGGCTGCCCATAGTGGCCAGCTTTCAGCCAGAGCTGGTAAGAGTGATTTTCATTGGAATTTAATGGTATTTTAAGTGATAAAAAATTTTTATAGAACACATACCTGTTTTTTACCTTGAAGTCTTTTGGAGGAAATAAATATGAGATATATTCTTTTAACATTGATCAACAAATACTTGAGTAGTTACTATGCATGAGGCCTTATAATTAAGATCCTAGAGATCTCGATTGAGATCAAGCAAAAAATGTTACTTTGGCCCTAAAGACCTTGGTGGTGGTGTATAAATTTTATTTATTATCGTTGCTGATAATGAAAGTTAATGTTTATTGAATGCTTAACCAAGCTCCATTACTTAAGCTAAGCACCAAAAACAACCTTAAGAATTGGTGGTTATGATTCCTATGTTGGAGATGAGGAAATTGAGTCTTAAGGAGGTTAAGTAACTTGCCCAAGATTACATAGATTCTGGGGACAGGAATTAAACCCAGGTCTGCCTCATTCTAAAGCCTGTGCTCTTTATGCTTGTGCTGTGTTACCTTTACTTTTGCTACTCTGGTCATAACATGACATGATTTCTTTTTATGCCATTTTTTTTCTTCCCTTAAAAAAATAAGTTAAATAACATCCATTTCATTGGAAATCCAAATAAGGCAGTCATTCTATATGAGTGGCTTGAAATAATAAATCCAGGGGCTGACATGGAGCCGGAGAGCCATTAAAAAGAAGTGTGATTTAATAATAACTTCGATTTTGAAGACTATAAAGTGACTTATGGCTTGATTAGGATTTTTAAAAAATGTTTATTTTTATTTATTTTGAGAGAGAGCAAGCAGTGAAAGGGGAGAGAGAGAGGGAGAGAGAGAGGATCCCAAGTAGGCTCCATGCTGTCAGCACAGAGCCCAATGAGGAGCTCAGTCTTAAAAACTGTGAGATCATGACCTGGGCTGAAATTAAGAGTTGGACGCTTAACCGGTGGAGCCATCCAAGTGCCCTGATTAGGATTTTCTTTTTAAACAATAATAACCATAAGTTTTCTGCTGGTTTATAACTTCAGTGCAAGGACTGAGTCTTTTCCTTTTTGTAAATTTGACATATAGCACAAGGCCTGGCACAGACTTCTCAGTCAGTCAAGATGTATGGAATGAATATATGAGCATCTAAAAATGTAGTGGAACTTACAATATAAAATAAACAAAATTTGGTTTTGATGATGTTCCCCACAGTGAAGGAATGGCTAGTTGTCCTCTTCTCTGTCATTTGAGAATTTCTTTTACCCCAAGGCATTGTAGTCATGCTAGGAATGCATGTGTTTAAGAAATACACCAATTTTAAAAACTCAAGTGTTGTATCAATTAATTTGGAACCACAAATTCTTAAAGTTTCATTACGACCTAATTTATGTGATCATAAATTTGTGTTTGGATGTTTGCCAGGATGATTTTATAATGTTAAGTAGGTAAATTTCAATTCATTATGTAAATGCTGTGGTTTTAGGAACCTTCATGGTAATGTGGGAGCACAGAGGAAGGCATCAAGGAGTATTCCGGTTAGAGGAAGTTTGAGCTGTGTCTTAAAGGATGATTTGGAGTTAGCCAGGTAGAGGACTGTGAGGGAGTGGGCAGTGGTGAGTACCACGGAATCACACAATTCCAGGAGCACCGTTGCAACTTCGCCCTAGGAGGCACCATCATGGAGAGTACGGTGTGCACGGGGGGTGGTGGTGGAAGGAAAAGATGTGGAGGTAGGGAATAGTGTGGTCTGTTAGCAATGAAAGCAATGTGGTGGTATTGGAAAGTCACCGTGGATATGGTGTGATGGAAGATAAAGCAGGGAGTAGGAAATGGAGGTCCTTACATGACAAGCTTCATCCTGAAGGGGCTAGAGACCACCACACTCTGATGTTGGATTATTTCTTAGGCATGTTACCGTTGATAGTAGTGACTATTTAAAATTTCAGGTCAGTGGCATGAAAGATGAGAATGAAAAATAGAAACGAGGTCAGGATTAGCTGGCAGTTAGGGAGGGGGTGGAGGTAGGGTTGGAGTGGGGGATACCATTTTATACATTTATTTTTAATCGAAGTAGAAACAGTTTTGGGCAGAGAGCCAGTCGAGAAGGTTTCTTCTCTGATATAAATAAAATGGATAGGAAACTAGTCTGAAGCGTATTTTGGAATATTAGAAAAGGGGATCATGGAAAAAGCTTAATTACTGAAAAATGTGCTGTTGAAAATTTTTTTTGACAGATCGCTTTAAATATCATATTGTTAAGCAGATCTTCTCTGGAGGAGACCAAACTTTCGTACTTTGCTCCAAATATGAGGTAAAATTTCTTTTCATTCTTCTTTGGGGATGGAATAATGGTAAACCAATGTTTATTGTTATAAACAATTACATGAGAGCAATGTTACTCTTTGTTTCTAACAATTTTATCTTATTAAGGTAAGCCAACTAGAACTTGAAGACATTCTCTCTATTTTGCTTCTGTGAAGTACCAATAACTTTCCTGGTATTTTAATCGTAGGATTCTGATTTATAATTTAAAATTATTTGTTTATGTCTGTATTCCAAAAGATATTTAAGGAGGCCCAGAGAGTTTGTAATAACTTTGTTATTATTTGACTTTCCATTTCTTCTCTGTTAAGTAGCAACAAATGCTAGGTATTTGAAAATTTAGTGGGTGTGTTTGATGTGATTGAGTATATGCAAAATATAAAAGAGATGATACAGTATTCAGATATCCTTTATCATTTATCATTTGCTCACAGCACCACACTAAAATTTCAGATTGTCTCCAGTGTCACTGTAGTGGGTAAGTCAGGAAGAATGACATTCCAGTATCTTTTCAGGGTTGAAGGGAGAAGAGAAAGTGGTCCAGTATCCATGACAGAGCTTTTATTTTTTTTTTATTTTTATTTTTTTTTTCAACGTTTATTTATTTTTGGGACAGAGAGAGACAGAGCATGAACGGGGGAGGGGCAGAGAGAGAGGGAGACACAGAATCGGAAACAGGCTCCAGGCTCTGAGCCATCAGCCCAGAGCCCGACGCGGGGCTCGAACTCACGGACCGCGAGATCGTGACCTGGCTGAAGTCGGCCGCTTAACTGACTGCGCCACCCAGGCGCCCCTATGACAGAGCTTTTAATTGATTCCGTTCTTCTTGGACAAGGGAAGTCATTCTGAAACCAGGGGCACAGATTTGTTTTCTGCCCTGCACTCCCTTATTTTTGTGCTTTCTCTCCTCTCTTCTTCCTCGCCCACCCGCTTTTATTCAGGAAGCATGTACGGAGGACCAACCATGTATCATGCATTGATTCTTATCCTCTCATGGAAGAGCAGGGAAGGGTTACTCATGATGACAGAGGAATCAGAATTGGTTGGGAGGAGAAGAGGAGCTGTGGAGACAAGGGCCCTATGAGTCCTGGAAATTCTCCCCATTCGACTGATACTTTGCCATCTTTAAATACACAATATTCTTGCCTTCTAGTCAGTATAATTCTATGATGTGGTAGAAGAGGTTGTGCTGGAGTCTGTGGCTTCAGGTTGGACAGTGGAAGTGGACAATTAGATATTTTGCAGGTCAGGAGCCTGGAGAAGGTTCTATTTAGTGCTACCATCTGGGGTGATTTGGAACTGCTGTGTTAGACCTATTTTAGGCCTGGCTTCAGTGCTTCACAGAGAAATCTTGGAAAACTGAGATGCTTTTTTGTTTCTTCAAAATGCGAGTAAAGTGAAATATGAAAAGCACTAAATCTCTGCAGGATAATAATTTTTTGTCCATAAGTATTAGAGTTTGAAGTATTCATTTCCCTAGGAATTGACTTGAATAAAATTGTCCAACTTTAATTTTCCTGTGAAAGTTAACATAAAAACTTAGTTTTACTACTTTTATAAATACAGTACCTGATCTAAGTAGTTGGGTTTAAAATTTATTGTACTTAAACTGTTGGGACTGGAAAACAAAACATTGATGAAAAGAATCTAAAATAATGTAAGGTTAAAGAAATAGGGCAGATTAAAGGTTAAACCACTGGGAAGAGGGGTATGCATTAAAAATGTAAGATAACAAAGAAGAAACTAAAAATAGACTATTATTTAGAAAGGTGTTGCTCTTTCTCTTTAAAACTGAAGCCTGTGCACTTCTACTTGAGCATAGATGTTTGTTTAGATACAGAGACTGATAAAATCATGTGTTTACCCTGTTACCATCACACTTGAAGAATCACTTAAAAGACCTAAGAGAAAAGCATCTGTGTAGTGACGGTCTCCATTTCTATAAACACAGCTTATTCCGTGAATGCTAGGTCTGAGGTAGAAGAAGGAAGGGGAGGAGTTGGGTATAGACTCTGTTTTACTACCTTTGATTCCACGTCTTGGAAATTTGGTGAATGCAAACCATAGCCCCTTTTTTTCCTTTCTTATTGTTCACTGGATAGGATTGAATAAGGAATGTTGGGATGTTAGGGTGCATGTGCACCTGTAGGTAACATAATTCTCTCTTTCCCAACAGTTATTCTCAACCTTGGTTGCCCATTGATATCAGCTAGGGGCCTTTTAAAAAACACTGATGCCTCTAGAGATTCTGATTTAATTGGTCTAGAGTGTGACTTGGCCATCAAGATTTTGAAAGCTCTCATGATCCAAAGTTGAGAAAAGTTGATCCTAGGTCAGTTTGTTTTTTCTTTTCGGCCTACGTATAATTAGAAGGCACAGAAAATTCATATCCTTTTCTTAAGTCTTCAAGTGATTCTGAGATTATACTTCATTCAGGACATCTGTAGTTTATTGGACATGCGATGAAGAATGAGAAAGTAGTTCCACGTGAAATGTTTTATTGTAAGTATATGTTAGAGTCTCTGTTCAGCTACCACTGTAAATGAGGAAAGTAATTAAAATTTAGATAACACCCGTGGTTTTAAGACTAGGGTGAAGAGGCAGTCTTGCATGTGTGTGTTCAAGTGTCTACTTTGTCTTATGATTTTTCTCTGTGTCATTCAAGATGAATTTGTTCTCTCTTAGATGTCTGTGGCCATTTTAATAAAATAATTATCAAGACCCAGATGATCAAAAACATTGTCAAACGTGTGATTTGTTATATGCCTTTCTCCTTTCCCCTTATTATATAATATCTTACAACTATGGGGGAAGTAACAAAGAAAATTTACTTTGGAAGTTGTATTTTCATGTGTAGGTACAAAGGAGGAAAAAATAATCATGTTATGAATTGATGGATGAATGGTTTAATATAACCTTTTCCCTCTTTTCTAGTGACAGTTATGGAGGGTATAAAGCACTTTCAACTTTTTCTTAGTTCTAGATCAAGAATAGGTTTTGGGTAATATCAGCTGAATAAGATAAATTATAGAAAACAAAAGTGCTTATATTTTTTAAAATCTCCCTGAAGAAAGGATGTATAATGCTTGTAGCATTTGGAATTGTCGAGGCCATTGTTGACATGTCCTTTTTGGCACCTTCCTTACAAATGTGTAACTATATACCTGGAACAAGAAATTAAGAGTCATTACATTGTCATAGATTATTTGCAATATAGATTATAACTTAACTTTTTAATAATACATTTTGTTGGAGTTGTGTGACTAGTTATGGCAAATGATCAATACCTTAAAAGCCTTGATGTTACAGTGATTCAAAGCAGAGGGGAATGAAGTGTGGAAAAGCCATATTGGGTTTGTTTCTCTGGGAAACAGGTTGTGAGACTGAGATTTATGTTGAAACAGTCTTTCAGGGGAGTGTGGTAGGAAGGCATCTATTTAGGGATGAAGGAGGCAGCCCTGGGCCTGCAGGGAGAGACTGCGGATCTGTGTAACAGAGGCCTAAGCCAGTCTCCTCGGGAGCTCTGAAGTCAGGATGGCTCTTCAGCCAGTCCTGAGTGGAGGCAAGGAGGCTAAGCCTTTATACTACACCTCTACCTGCCCCTGGACGTTAGAGGGATGAAGCAGTGGCCAAGGGCAGTTCTCGGAGTGTAGCCCAGCTGGGAGCTGTTGGGAGCTTATGCTCTCAGCAGCTCAGGGAGTGTAGAGGGGGGTGTGGGCAGCACACCCCAGCTCCTGTGAACACAAGACTGAGAATATATGAGGAGAAAGAGAAGAGATCCAACCTACATAATTTCTCTTTTTTTACTGTTATATTTAATCCTCCAGAATTCTTCCCCTGCTGTTGACTTTAGGACGATGAACCAAGCACATTACACCAGTCTAATAAATGATGAAACCATAGCAGTTTGGAGACAAAAACTCTCAGAACACAACAATGCAAATACAATCAAGTATGTGGCTGCTTGTTTTCATTTTCATTTTTCCAGAGTACGTTGGAATCTTTTAGCTCAGTAATTTCCCCTACTTCCGTATTGAGGTTATGAATGGAGTTTTACATTTTAGGGAATCTTTTTATTGTTTTTGTTTTTCTGGCACGTATTTCTTGAGGATTTGGTGTCCTTAGCCCCAGATAACATAATAATTTTTGCCCCCATTCTCTCAGAGTGTGTCCCTTAACCTTACCTTATTCAGATCTTAAAAATCCTGACTGATGAAGGCATGGGTTGGCCTTTATGTTAAAAAAGCTCAGTTTTATGGTTTAACATCAAGAGTTTCTTCATATGTGGATCCCAAAGCATCCCAAAAGTAAGACAAATGTTAGCTTACCTAACCTGAATAATTTCTAGCATTTTCACTTTCAGAATGATTAGTCGAGATGGTAATATAATGCCAAATTGAGAAAATAAAGTAAAAAGGATTGATGCCTTTTATCCAGTTTATTTTAAAGGAGAAATTTTTTTGTGCACATTTTTATACATTTTCATTGACTTTCCTTAGTATTTTCGTTTTTCTGCCATCTAATATTTGGGAATGAATGAATCATGTTCTGTGTACATTGTACACTGAAATGTGTATATCTTCTTTATGACATAGAGTATAGTAGGGCAAATGACCAGGGCCCTAAACTTTGGGGTGCACCGGGATCATTGAGAATGCCCTTAAGCAGCTCATGGCGGGCCTCAGAATTTCTCTAACCTTAGGTGGGTCTGATGAGGAATTCAGGCTAGAAGGATGTGGGGGTGAGGGAAGGGGACTAGACTCATCATGAGAGGGGCAGGATGGATTCCGCTTTCCTGGGACCTTGACAGTTTACTAGTTCCCAGTTCTCTCACTTATAAAATGAGGGGATGGAAGAAGTTATCTCTAAAGACCATTCCTGACCCAGAAGTTATTGCAACCCCCTCCTTAACCATGTATTTGTTGTATTCCTTCCCTTTTCTATATACTAGATGAGAGGGTCCAAGACTCTTCACACGCAGTTTCATTCTGGGTCTTCAGACACCAGCTATTTTCCCAGAGCCTCTGTTATCTAGGTAATAGGAATAAACACTCACTTCACTTATTTTCAGTTTCTTTCTCAGATAAGAAACAAAATAGAAGGCAGTGGTTGTTTACTTATTAATTTGCAAAGACAATTTCTGTGTTTGGGAGATAACAGCTCAACATCTCTTTTTTGATTATATTTTGTTTGTGTTGGGAGATGAGCTGGGGAGTATCTTAGTTGATGGCAGAAGGTTGTTCGAGATCATTGTCAGGTACAAGAATTGTTCTTTTAGTAGCTTTGGTACTTTTGATTTTAACATGACTTATGGAAAACTTAAGTACTTGTCTATTTTGAGATGTGACACAATGTTTCTCTACAGCAAATGTACGTTTTCCAAGGCTTCATCTGGGTAAGAAAGAGCTGCTATTAATGAAACCCTGGAATAGATGACTAATCTATTATTGAGGCTTGAGTAACCATTTATTTGTAATTATTAAAGGCTTGCCTACCTTTTTCTTTCTGAGCAGTGGTGTTGTTCAGATATTATCTTCTGCAGCCTGTTGGAATGGAAGTTTTCTTGAAAAAAAGTAAGTGATTTAGAATCTTAAAAAAATACCCACATGTGATGCAAATACTTACTCAGCAAAGGCAGTGAAAGACTTCTGTTCTCTTTGATGGTGGTTGGCCTTAATTCACTGATGATGATTTGTGCAAAACTTGGAATGCCTTATAATGATGAATGAGAGGGTGTCAGGAAGGGCAATGCTGATTCATGCCTGGTTGGCAAAGCAGCAGATTAGCATAGAGACTATCTCAGAGAGAGTTGGTGTAATCAATAGTAAGATTTCTCAGGTTTTTCTAAAATGGTATCCCCACATGTGCACTGTATTTGTTCTTAAATTCTTAATTATTTAATCTCCTGGGTTTCATCGGTTTGCTTTCCCCATAGATTTTTCTTTTCTCAAAACCATTGAGCTCAGGGGGTGTTCCAAGGAAGCTTCAGGAGTTCCTTGGACTTAGGGCTAGCCCAGTTCACCAGGAGATTATTCGGACTGAATTTCCAGGTAGTAAAATAGTGTTTCTTTGCTTGGCCTTATCCCTTCTGCAGGTATCCCCCTGAAGAACCTCATGCAGCAGAAGGGTTTTGTCACGGGTTTTGATCTTTGGGGACCCCAATTCTCGACCATCTCTCAATCCTTTTTGTCAGTGACCAGGCAAATGAAATCCCAAGAAGAACTTAGAATTCAGTTCTGTATGTGAATCCCACTCCCTCCCCCACCAAAAAATGATGTCCCTAACTGGGTTGCAAGAGGTCATCTCAGAAACTTTTCTTCTGTTACAGCTAGAGATTGCCAAGTCATTTGTTTGTATCATTAGGGCAGCTGGAATGAGCTCATCCAGTTTATTTCAGCTTTAATATTTAGCTTTTTCCTTTAGGGAAAAGTCTTCAGGATTGTGCTGATGTTGGTTTTTTAGAAGTGGTTTTCCACCAGGCTGACTTATCTTCTAAGAGGACATTTGGCAATGTCCGGTGACATTTTTTGGTTGTTACAATGGGGGAGGGTATACTACTGGCATCTAGTGGGCCAAGACCAAGGATGCTGCTAAGCACCTCACAATCCTGTCCACCCAACAAAGAATTATTTGATCCCAAAAGTCAATAGCACCAAGGTTGAGAAACCTTGTTCTAGAAGGACAGCTTTTATGAAGGTTGGGAATGGCTCTTCGCCAGACTTGTTAGGTTATTCATCCTTAGGATCATGAATTCCATAGAGAGGTGGATAAGGCCTTTATTTTTTTAATTGACAACTGAACTATTTCAGGATTTCTGCTTATATAGTTTATGAACAATGCCTCACAGGAAACCGATTGAAGTAAAAGACCACTTTTGCAAAGAATAAATACATTTAGATAAAATGTTTTATTTTTTCTTAATAGCGTGACAGAAAGTACCTCTAAGCATATAGAAGGTTACATATAGGACACCAGAATTAATTTCTGTGTTTGGGGTAGATCTGTTTTTAGAGCAATAACAACAAAGGACCCAACAAACAAAGCCCAAGCATCTCTTGATTTGACCATTTAGGTTTCAATGCATATGTTATTGTTTTTTTAATGTTAGAAACTCTCTGTTTTTATAAGTTACAGCATTGCTGTCAGATAGTGTTAAAACTATTAGATGTGTCCATTACCCATCAACAGAAGTCTATTTTGCAAATAGAAAGTTATTTTGTAGTTAATAGATTTGGTATATTCAAGAGTGGGAATTTAAAAGAGACATTCTAAGTCTCAAAAAGGCTATGACTTTATATAAAGTTAGGAAAAACGATTAGTTGCTAGGAAGTTAAAAACAGTATCAGTGAAATTAGTCCTTAGGTGTATGTAATTGTATCCCTTGTGTAAGATGTTAACTTTGTTGTGGATTTGATTTTTTTTAACAACACTTTATTGAGAAAAGTTTTAAACAAGGAGTTTTGTTCTACCTGCCATTTGTTGATGATTGGGCCAGTTTGCACAGGGGATGTTTTTGCACCTAGGCACAGCATCTCTACATCTAGTTCAGTGTACCATAATTACAGAGAAAGGCAAACACACAAGAGTAAATCATGGAAATAACACTCTGCTTATAAGTTTCAAGATAATCTCAAGTAGAAATGATGACTTGCTTGTACTTTGAATTGAAGGGAAAAAACACTTGAAAACTTTAAGATCATCTTGGAAAAGGGGTTCCATCCAGAGCTTGATTCTGTTGGGCTTCCTTAAAGTGTAATATTTTTACACAGCTTGTCTGCTGGGTCAAATTTAAATCTGATCGGTATGGATAGGCTATTTTGTCTCCCTACTTCTAATTCCCAACAGAGTGTTTGCTTTGTTTTTCTTTTATTAACACACATTTGAAATTTTTGTTTAGAATTGATGAACATTTTAAAACAAGTCCGAAAATCCCTGGGATTGACCTGAACTCAACGAGGGTGTTATTTGAGAAGTTAATGAGCTCCCAGCACTCCATGATTCTAGAGCAGGTAAGTTCTATACATTTGCAGAATGTATTCTTTTTTTTATTTTTTTAAATGTTTGTTTATTTTTGAGAGAGCACAAATAGGGGAGGGGCAGAGAAAGGGGGACAGAGGATCTGAAGTGGGCTCTGTGCTGATAGGCTGACAGCATTGAGCCCATCGTGGGGCTCAAACTCATGAACCACAAGATCATAACCTGAGCGAAAGTCTGATACTCAACCAACTTGAGCCACCCAGGCACTCCTGCAGAGTATATTCTTCTTTTTTATTTTTTTAAATGTTTATTTATTTTTGAGAGAGAGAGAGAGAGAGAGAGAGAGAGAGAGAGAGAGAACATGAATGAGCTGGGGTGGGGCAGAGAGAGAGGGAGACATAGAATCCTAACAGGCTCCAGGCTCTGAGCTGTCAGCACAGAGCCTGACAAGGGACTTGAACCCACGAACTGTGAGATCATGACCTGAGCCAAATTTGGATGCTTAACCAACTGAGCCACCCAGGCGCCCTCAGAGTATATTCTTAAAAATGCATTTTTGTATTGCAATAATTCAACTTTAAAGAGAAACAAAAGAGTGTAAGATAAGAAGGCATAAAGCTTGTATAAATCTTAGTTCTACAATATTCACTTCGGGAATTTGACCTACCTTGAGCTTTCTTTTTAGCTTAAATCTTTTGAAGGAAATGCCCTTCCAGAGAAGTCTGCACAGGTGGAGATGTTTGACTTTTCATTCCATTGGTGTATCTCCTAAGCACCACTAGTGCCTGGCTCATGGTTGATTCTCTGTGCATACCGACTGAGTGGGAGTTGAGAGTCTACCGAAAAGCTTATGAATTTAGAGATCAGGTAACTAGATCTCAGCAATGTTTGAATTTCTCAGTATTCTTTTCTCTCATACAGATCTTAAACAGCTTTGAAAGTTGCCTGATTCCTCAGTTGTCAAGTTCACCACCAGATGTTGAAGCCATGAGAATCTATTTAATACTACCTGAGTTCCCCCTGCTCCAGGATTCCAAGTATTACATAACATTGACTATTCCCCTGGCAATGGCCATTCTGCGGTTGGATACAAACCCCAGCAAAGTATTAGGTGAATTTGCTAAAATCAATACCAGTGGTTTTGTACTTTTTATTTCATTGGTGTGACCACTGGCTCTCAGTGGACTGAGATCTGAGAATCTATTTGTTGCCATTTAATATCCTTAACATTCAAACCTTTCTTTCTTTGCTGTTGTCTTCTAACTGGCCATATTTGCAGTATGAGCAAATCGAACCATCATTTAGGTTATTTGAAATGATTCATGCCAGACTCGTCTTGATTTTTAAATATTCACGAAGGTAGATTAACTTTAAACTATTTTTTCACCTCCTACATTTGCTAGTAGTTAATAGTGCCTCAAGAATTAGTGTCTATCTGTTGCTCTTTCTCCTATACCTAATTTAGGGGGTGGGAGTGAAATGAATAGTTTGGTGTGATGCACAGGTCTCCAAAAGAGGAGAGGAAGAAAATGACCTAGTGGAGACTTACCAAATGTTTGTTCTGTTTTTCTTTTTTAGGACAGTTGAGTCCACACTGATTTTTGCAGGCTACGGACACTTTGCTGAGATAAGAACCTTCCGTTCCTCAGTGAATTGGAGAGTGTCTCATGGAAGTAGCGCCCGAGATGTTTTTATTAATCAAGTGCAGAAAGTCTGTCACCTGGGTTTTTCCCATTTTTTTTTTCCTGGTAAATTTTTTAGGTGTTCATTGCAACTCAGTAACTTCTGTGTTCCAAATGGACTAGGATGTTACTTGAGTGTGTCTCTCCATAAGTAAAGAGACCTGTGTTCCTGAGGATGGAATACTGGCTTTTCCATACTGCTTCTACCTTTGCAGAAGATATAAAAACAAAGAATAACGGAAGCACTAGTAATATGTTAGTCCTTAATTTTGGTTTTTTAAGATCAAAGCCCTTCGTGGCCTATCTTTTCAGGTGTTCTAATAGGCTATGAAGTAGAGAGATGGCAATCTCTGAAGGAATTTTACCTGACGTTTAGGGTTTTTTTTTTAATTTTAATTTTTATTTTTTCAGGTAGGACAGTACAAAGAGATCAGAGTTGTTTAGTTTTACACTTGTTTTTAACTTCTAATGAAAGAAATTTAAATTTAAAAGAATATCTCAGACTGTGGAAAACTCTGTAGGTACCTATTCACACAAATTCACGATTATCAATATTTGGCCCTTTTTGTTTTCTATGTTCCCCTTACCACCACCTTTTTACTTTTGCTGAAATATTTTTTAAAAATCATAGACATCATGTCATATCATCCTTTAAGTATTTCAGTATGGCTGAATTTATTTCTGACAATATAGAAACCAGTGGTCTAGCCTTCTTGTCTGGTTATGAGAAAGCACAGTTTGGGGAGAAACAGAAACAGTAGTTTTACAACTAATGAAGCCTCTTGATGGGAAGGCATGGCTTCCATACTGCTGCTGCTTCTGGGGTGTGTCGTCCTGTGCATCCCTGGTACAGGATGTAGGTGGAGGCAGAGTTGAGGGCAGCAAAGATGATGATATCTGAATGCTCCTACCTGCAACATATGTCTTAACATCTTGTCCACATGGATCTTTGGAACTGAATGTTTAGCTTGGCCTTCTGAATGAGTCTTTGAGAAAAAAAATCAGATCAAGCTTTACAAAAAAAGCTCTAGGGGGTTCTTGTGCTCTCCAGAAATGCTTTAATGGATTCTTTTTAAAGTCAGTTTTGGGAAACTGTATTTTAGACTAATGTTTATTTTTTAGCCGGAGTAGTTTTTAGCTAGTAGGCAGAAGACATAAATAATTGATCAAAAATACATGCTGAAACATGTCTTTTCTTTCTTTCTAAAGATAACTGGTGGTCTCAGGTATGCCCAAAATATTTCATGAAGCTGGTAAACCTCTATAAAGGTGCAGTCGTGTACCTCCTGAGAGGAAGAAAGACATTCTTAATTCCCGTACTGTTTAACAATTATATTACAGCAGCTCTCAAGCTCTTGGAGAAGTTGTATAAGGTGAGTATAGAGAGGAGCCAGTGGGGAGAGGGGTGAATAGATGGTAGGCTCAAATGTCCTACTGAGGTAGTCTGTGGAAAGCCATTTTCCAGTTGTTTGGGTTTTAATTGTCCTCATTTGGTTCTTCATCAGGTAAATCTTAAAGTGAAGCATGTTGAATATGATACATTTTACATTCCTGAGATTTCCAATCTTGTGGACATTCAGGAAGACTACCTCATGTGGTTCTTGCATCAAGCAGGCATGGTAAGAATTCATCTAAAGCATATTCTTAAAGCTTTAGTCTTTTCTCAGAGTACAAATAAGGACAAGAAAATCCCAATCTGAGCTGTACAATTTGTCCTTGACTTTGGTGTTAATGTCACAGTGTTTTGGCTGGCTTTGCATTCTTGAAACTTTTGAAGTGTTTGAGACATCATAAATGGCCAATAAGGAGTCATAAATGGGTGATCAGCCAGAATGGTACAAACTTTAATTAGTTGCCAACATTTTAAAAATCAAGGTATCTAAAGTAGTCACAGTTGTAGAAGCAGAAAGTAGCCTGGTGGTTACTGGGACCTGGGGGAAGGAAAATGGAGAGTTGTTTAATAGGTAGAGAGCTTCAGTTTTGCAAGATGAAAAAGTTCTGGAGATCTGCATAATAATGTGAATATAGTTAACACTACTGAGTTGTACACTGAAAAGTGATAAAGATGGCAAACTTTATGTTACGTGTCTCTTACCATAAAAAAGTCAAGATACGTAAAATGAATTTCTAGTTTTTCTTGGAACTTAGAAGATCTGGCAACATGACCTGTCCTCCCAGATGGTACCAGTTGGCTAGAGTTCAATAGTAGCTCTTTAGATGAGGCTTATATGTGCCACAGTCCACACTGTCACTGGATTTTGACATTGAGGAAAGGATCATTTGCTAATTACCATCTTCCAGTAGCTAGCCTACTTTAGTTGTCTTATGTCAGTGCCTGAACCCGGTAGGCCACCTCTGATTTGGGATTATGGGTGTGAAGATGTCACATATCCCCGACCTAGCTCTCAGCATATGTTAGATGAGCCATCCAAGGGACTGAAGATTCCTGCCTGTCACCATGGCTCTGCAAGAGCTGCTCAGTTTGATTGCAGACTGTCTTGGGACCTATGCAAGGCTTTTTAGGACCTCCCATCTGTGGAGTATGTATACATTTGAGTTAGGTCAGAAAACAGAATGATAATTTGGCCACCATATTTAGTGAAGTCATGTGTAGCAGATACATTTGGTGTGAATCCTGGCCAGTTTAACAGATACATCACTACATTGAGGCAGTATTTTCCCTGTAGAGTTTTTGGAGGTCAGTAGTGCAGTAGTGGTTTCTAATAACAAGGAGTATAAGGTTTATTTAACTAAGAAAGATTATTTGCTTTGTCAAATAATAGATGATCAGTGCTAGACACAGTAATGTGTTTTTAATAAGCTTTTATTATAACCTTGACCTTGAAAAAACAAAATACTTTTCAATAAAAATGGGTTAGAATCTTCTAAATGGGTTTACATGGGAAATATAACGTGCAGGCTAGCAATGAACTCTTGCTTTCACATGCTAATTTAGAAATTGTAAAAAGAAGCTTTTCTGTTTTATCAACTTGCAAGTAGCTAGTCGTGGCAAAATAAAATGTTAAGAGCTGAAATAAGCTTTATGAATTATTTAGGCTGTTTTGTTTGTAGGTGAGGAAATGGAGGCCCACAGAAGTTCAACAATTTTCCCACCAATTTAGTTAGTTTCATAAAAGCCAATTCTTCTGACTTTGAATCTGCCCTTTCTGTGACTGGATGCTGAATAAAATACTTCTAATGAACCCTAATTCTTTTTGACGCTGAAAAAGAAGTTGCTGGTGTTAGAAATCTGGATTATCATGATTGAAGTCTGTGAATGGAGGTACTTAAGTGGGCAACTTTTACAAATTTTTTTTTTTGTTTTAATTTTTTTTTTTAATGTTTATCTTTGAGGAAGAGAGAGCATGTGAGCAGGGGAGGGGCAGAGAGAGAGAGACACACACGCAGAATCCGGAGCAGGCTTCAGGCTTTGCGCTGTCAGCACAGAGCCCAATGCAGGGCCTAAACTCATGAACTCTGATATCATGACCTGAGCTGAAGTCGGACGCTTAACCAACTGAGCCACCCAGGCGCCCCTACAACTTTTTTAAAGTTTATTTATTTATTTTGAGTGAGAGAGAGAGAGAGAGAGAGAGAGAGAGAACAAGTGGGGGAGGGGTAGAAAGAGGGAGAGACAGAATCCCAAGCAGGCCCCTGCTGTCAGTGCAGAGTCCGATGTGGGGTCAATCTCATAAACCATGAGATCATGACCTGAGCTGAGATCCAGAGTTGGATGCTTAACCAACTGAGCCACCCAGACGCCCCTACAGCTTTTTTACGTTTTTTCTCTTAACATATGATAAGCACATATAGGTCTTGAATACCAGATGCTCATCTCTTCTTTAGTATTGCATGTAGTTATTACAGAAAGATAGAAAATTAGTAGGTCAAATTATAGTGTGGCCTTTTGTGATTTCTGTGGAATTTTCTTTTATTGTATAAGGTATAGTATTATTAGAAATTGAAGTTTAAATTTCTTGCTGTCTTTTGTTTTAATCTAGAATGCTAAAGCTATTTTGTACCCAGGCACCCCTGTTTCATACATAAATTTATATACTTTTTAAATTACTTTCATTAAAATTTTTTTAATGTTTATTTTTTTTCAACGTTTTGTTTTTTATTTTTGGGACAGAGAGAGACAGAGCATGAACGGGGGAGGGGCAGAGAGAGAGGGAGACACAGAATCGGAAACAGGCTCCAGGCTCTGAGCCATCAGCCCAGAGCCCGACGCGGGGCTCGAACTCACGGACCGCGAGATCGTGACCTGGCTGAAGTCGGACGCTTAACCGACTGCGCCACCCAGGCGCCCCTAATGTTTATTTTTGAGAGAGAGAGCGAGAGACTGTGACCGGGGGAGAGGCAGAGAGAGAGGGAGACACAGAATCTGAAGCAGGCTCCAGGCTCTGTTAGCAAAGAGCCCAGTGTGGGGCTTGAACCTGGACTGTGAGATCATGACCTGAAGTCGGATGCTTAATAGACTGAGCCAACCAGGCATCCGTGTTTTATTATTATTATTACTTTTTAATGTTTATTTATTTTTGAGAGAGAGAGAGAGACAGACAGACAATGTGTGAGCAGGGGAGGGACAGAGAAAGGGAGACATAGAATCCAAGGCAGGCTCCAGGCTCAGCCATCAGCACAGAGCCCAACACGGGGTTCAAACTCATGAGCTGTGAGATCATGACCTGAGCCAAAGTCGGTCACCCAACTGACTGCGCCATCCAGGTGGCCCTTATTATTTTTAAAATATTTTATTTATTTTTGAGAGAGAGAGCGAGCATGAGTGGGGCAGGGGCAGAGAGAGAGAAGGGGAGACAGAGGATCTGAAGTGGGCTCCACACTGACAGCAGTGAGCCCATGTGGGGCTTGAACTCATGAACCACAAGATCATGACCTGAACCAAAGTCAGATGCTCAACTGACTGAGCCACCCAGGTGCCCCTTAAGTTACTTTTAATTGATGGTAATGAATAATAAGTGGATTTTCCCTCACCTTTATTGATGAATACTTGACAAATAAAATTATATGTTTTTAAAGTGTACAATGTGATTATTTTTGATATGCATTATGAAATGATTGCCAAGATCAAGTTACTTAACGTATCGATCACATACCTAACTCATTTTGTTTGCTTTTGTGTGTGTGTGTGTGTGTGTGTGTGTGTGTGTGTGTGTGTGTGGTGAGAATGCTTAAGATCTACTCTCAGCAGATTTCAAGGATGTATAAGTAGACCTTCATACGGGTCGGCTCCTTCTTTTGACCAAATACCCTTTCTTCCTTTGCCTTCTTTAGACCTGGCACTGTGGTCCTCCCCTGGAAGGAGGAGGGTCTTATGGACCGTTAACTCTGGCCTTGGCTCTGGTTCCTAACTGAGGCAGTTCTGGGTTTCTTTCCAGCCAGCCCACCTACCTGAGAGGATGGTGACCTTGCTCTCATTATAACTGCTCTCCTTCTGCAGAAGAGACATGGGCCTACTTCCCAAACTGGGCTCTTCCAGGGGTGAAGGGGTCAGGCAAAGGGTGATGGGAGGTACCAGGCCTGCAGAGGTGGATCTAGAGGTGCCTGGGAGGGCTTGCAGGGAGGGGCAGCAGGGTAGTCAGAGATGTGGAGCCAGGACCTGCAGACAGAGCTCCTGATTGATGTCTGAAATAACTATGCTGTCCTAACAGAAACACCAGTATTGAAGTATTTACAGCTAGGATGCCATAATGCCAGCAACTGTTTTTATAGTCACTGTGGTCACTTCTCTCCCAGTCCTTTTTACAGTTGAAGTGTTCAAAACTTTATCTTGCTTTTATAGGCCAACACATGTTAAAGATCTTTCTTATCCTTGAGAATAAGCAAATAATGCTTAAATAATCTCTTCTGAGAGGAAGATTAGAAAATTCTGAATATTGCCACCAGTTGTAAAATAAACCTGCTTCCTTAGGCTGCTCATACTTTTTTCAGGTACCTAGACTAGAAGATCATTTTGTGGACTGCTGTTTGATGGTATATGGGCTTTTTAAAATTTTAGTGATTTCAGTTCCTAAGTACAAAGTAATTAGATATGTAGGGATGAGAATGAAATTAGCCTGGATTATATATGTGTGATTCCATACCTTGTCTCACTGGACTGGAATCATCTCTCCAGTTCGGGTTTCTCAGTCTAGGGAAATGTTCCAAGATCCCTAAAGGAACCTAGTTCTAAAGAATTAACAGGATGGATTTTAATTAAAATTGCTGTTAAATTATTTCATTGAAATACAAACAAACACAAAAGGAGCTAGTTACATACTTCTTATTCAATAGCCTTTAAACAGGTATAGAACCAAACCATATCTTACAAATTAAATAAAAACCTGTAAAATCAAAATGCAGATGAGCCTCATGATTAAATGGAACAGCAAAAACGTCTTACTGAAACCAAACCCCAGTTGCATTGTGGAGAGGAACTGCATACTGTCAGGCCTGGGTGCTTGAGTTCCCAGGCCTGTCGGCCCTGAGATGACTCAGCTCTATTCTCTTTTCAGCTGCTATTAAACCTTCCTTCATGCAGCGGGCCAGGACTGTTCTGGCCTTTTCCTGGGCACAAATGCATCACTTACAAAGGAAGACTGCTTTTCTTCTTTTTCATTCCCCTTGGACAATTAAGTATATGATACCAGTGCGATCTTTAAAATAAATGAAAATTATTATAAGGAAGTTGTTGAGAATGCATCTTCATTAATTTTGTTTAAGGATATCATTTTAAAGAACCCACAGAATTTTTAAAAATTAATGGAGCACTCTCAGATCTCTGAGAATAAGACTGCAGTTTTCTGTTCTAGAAATACTGCTACAGATCAACAGGATATATATTGTTGATGTTTTTGTTTCTATTAAATCAATAAATAATGTTTGTTATATAACCTGACAACCTTCAGGAAAAAGATTTCCTTTTTTTCCCTTGGTAAACGAAATGGTGACAGACCTTGTAGCTAGGCTTCATTTGTGGTTTTAAAAAATTTATTATTATTCCCTTGCTCAAAATTTTATTTAGATTTATTCACATATTGATGAAATATCTTCTGTAGAACAAGCACTAGTCCACATGTTGTGTTAGGGACAGCTTTCTAAATATTTGTTTTCTTCTAAGAGAAGCAACTCTGTGTGTGTGTGTGTGTGTGTGTGTGTGTGTGTGTATGTAAGAAGGAGATGTAACATGCTGACAAAATGCAATCTGCAACATCCACTTTACCCAACAAAATTAATTTCTGAAATCAGGGTTGTAAAGCTCCTGTTTTAGAATTAGATTTCTTATAAAAGAGAATTATTTTAATGCTGTGAATTGTGGAGTCAGTGAATGGTCTTTAAAGGTCTTTAAAATTTTTTATAATTGTTTTTGTATTTTTTTCTCAGTTTATACCCATCAAAACATCTGGTATGTTCTATCAAAAATCGAGTCAGCCATTCAAATGGTGTTAGCTCTCTCCATGGCCAAATAGATAGGTTATATGATTTGTTGTTTGTATTTTACACTTGCAGGGAGTAGAAAATTCAGGTTTTGCAATCTAAGTAACAGACTTTTTATTTTTCTTTATACAGAAGGCTAGACCATCTATAATACAGGTAAATGATCCTTTTTCATTTACTTATATGTTTATCCAGCACTGTTCTCTGTGGAGCACTGTAATATTGCCAATAATATGTTTTATTCTAGGATACTGTAACACTTTGTTCCTACCCTTTCATCTTTGATGCCCAAGCCAAGACCAAAATGTTACAGACTGATGCTGAACTACAGATGCAGGTATCGTATTTAAAAAATTATTTCCTCTTCTTACTGTGTTTTGTTTATCCCAAGCATTCAATTGTAACTTTCACTTAACAGGAGAGAGTGTATTTAGATGAGGGGCCATTATAACTTTTTAGAACTATTTAAATTTTTTCAGCAATTTTATGTTGGATGTAACACATATACATGAATGCATGTTTACCTGGATCAGGGGTTGACAAGCCTTCTCATAAAGGGCCACATAGGAAATATTTTAGTCTTTGTGGGCCATACAGTCTGTCTCAACTATTCAACTATCTGTGTGGTAGCACAGAAAGTGTGACGGACAGTAAGTAAATGAATGAGCATGACATTATGCCTATAAAATGTTCTGTATACTGAAATTTGAATTTTATATAATTTTCACATGTGAAATATTCTTTTTTTTTTCCATTTTTTTCCCAGTCATTTAAAAATGAAAAAAAATTGTTATTTCAAGAGCTGTACAAAAACAGGCAGCAAGCTGGATTCGGTCTGCAGGCCGTCGTTTGCTGCCCTTGGTAGAGACAGAGTGATAATTAAATGGAGCTTGGTAATTCTTTATTGAATAAAAACTTAAGTTACAGAGATTTAATTTATTTTAAATACACATTTTTATTATAAAATAGAATTGATTTTGAGAAGTCTACAAAGACATTTTGTGAATTAGCAATTCAGATCTACCTTCCTACTGTTGGTAGATCTGTTACTCCGTTCATCCCTCTCTTTCTCTCCATCTGTCTTTCTCTTGCTTTCTGTGTGTGTCTGTATATAAGTATCTGTTTTCACAGTGACTTATCCATGTTATTGTCAATGTAAAGGTTTTCCAGAGAAAGTGGACAGTTTCAAAGAATAAAAACCATTTAACAAGTGGTTCTTAGGTTTCTTTTCCTGCTATTTTGAGAGTCATGGTTTTTACCAACTCTCCATCATGTTTCTTGTACTCTGATGATTATTTCAGTCTTAATTAGCTGGTCTCAGTCATTTTCGTGGAACTGGTTATGGGTCATATGCTTCAGCTGTCTCATTTAATTTCTTTTGGTTCAGATTAGAAAGATTTGTGTGTTTCGTAAACATGAGCAACTTGGAAAATCAGAAATAACAAAACGGAGATGCAATCAGCCTGCTCCCCACCACCCCAGGTCCAAAGGCACAGCCGGCTGCGGTCTGCACTTACAAGGACACTGAGTAATTGTGTTCTTCGATGTGATGTTCCAGGTGGCAGTCAACGGAGCCAACCTGCAGAATGTCTTCATGCTTCTCACCTTGGAGCCTCTGCTGGCCAGAAGCCCCTTCCTGGTCCTTCACGTTCGCAGGAACAATCTTGTTGGAGATGCCCTAAGAGAGCTGAGCATTCATTCTGACATTGATTTGAAAAAGCCTCTCAAAGTGAGCCCTTCATTCTATTCCTCTAAATGACTTCCAAGGTTTTCTTTTAAACAGGGGTGATGAAACAGCAGAGGTCTTATCATTAAAATTACGGAGTACAGCCATTCTTAAGGTCTTTCATTCATTTTACAATCATTTAATCACCTCCTTTTGTCAAATCAAACAGTATCTCAACATAACATCAGATAAGGATGCCAGAGGATTACTTGAGGGATTATAGGGCTTTCTTTGTCCGTTCTCTTCAGTGAACCTGCTCCAACTCTACCAGAAACAAGCAAACTAGCAAAACTAAAGCTTCAACTAGGTAAAACTGTCAAGTCAGCATCTAGCTTTGGTTGTCAAAGATTGGAGAGAAAGAAGGAAAAAGGTAGAATAAAAAGGAGTGAAATTGTCTGGGAAGCTGTTGACCTATCATGAGCGCTCTTAGTACCCTGAAGTTATTGAATTACTGTTTTTTCTTTCCTCATGGACTATGCATGTTTGTTACCACTTATTATATTCCCAGGGCTTAACACAATTCTTGGTTACATAGTAGGTGTTTGATTAGTATTTAATGAATTATTTGAAGTTGTTTTAAATCATTTATCTTTCCCTTCAGATGATTTCCAGATCTCCATTGCCATTCCTATTTCCAATTTCCAAAAGGCAGTAGGCAAGAGACTGATGGTCTTCATGCTATTGTCACCCTTTCAGAACATACCATGAGTAACATCAGTCTGCCTGGGAATTCTTCCTGGAACTTATGGGTTAGATTTTTGATATTGCAAAGGCGGGGTGGCGGGGGGGGGGGGGGGGGGGGGGGGGGTTGTCCCTTTGCCCCTGTTTTCAATTAGTAATTCAGATGAGACACTTGTTGCTTTGTAGCATGTCTGAGTTAAATCTTCTGCTGGCATCCATAGAATCGGGGTCCTAGTGTCTGTCTCTACCTTTTCTTTTGTCTTGCTCTTGGCAACCTTGAACTCACCCACAAGGGTACACTTTCTCAAATGCTATTTTTAGCTCTGTGTCTGAGCCCTTGCCTGTACAATGGAGATGATAATAGTAATCGCTATGCATCAGACTGTTCTGAGGATTAGGTTAATAGAGTTTAAGTGCTGGCATGTAACAAACTCTCAATGAATCTCATTTGTTGGTTTGCTGCAGTTGTTACTGTGATGGTCATTGTGGGTCCAGGATGCCCCATGTAGATCTGTTTATAGCCTCTCACAGAACCCAGGTCTGTGCTTCCTTAGAATGCCCTCCTCACTTCCATAAGCATCAGTTACTGCAGGAGCCCCACTGAGAAAGATTTTTTCCAGAAAGTGTTCCTTTATCCAAATTAATCATTGCTTTTCTCTGTGTGCCAGAACATTTACCTCTCAGTATATTTGACTCTTTGAAAATAAAATGTGTTCTCAATTGATTATTTTATATTTGCCTCACTGCCCCAAATAGATGGTAAACTTTCCATGGACATATGGTAAACTTCTGACTTCCTTTGTATCCCTTGGAGTACCTAGGAAAAATTTTGTGTGTAAGTGTCTTGTTACTAACAAGTAGATACACCTTGCAGTGTTCACTGTGTCAATGTATTGTCTGTTATATATCCCTTCCTTTGTCCTGACTTTGGAAGGAGTTTGCTTTTAAAAAAAAAGATAAAACATCAAAGAGTTCCCTGAAGTATTAATTCTGCTTTCATTATTTTAAGGTAATCTTTGATGGCGAAGAAGCAGTGGATGCTGGCGGTGTCACAAAGGAGTTCTTTCTTTTACTGTTAAAAGAACTTTTGAATCCTATCTACGGAATGTTTACCTACTATCAGGATTCAAATCTCTTGTGGTTTTCAGATACTGTAAGTTAGTGATATTGCAGTTAAACAGATGGATTGAATTAAACTTTTCTTTTTGTGGTCAGACCGATCTCCTGACTTCTGACTTTGCCAAGGGGAGTATAACAAAGATAATTTAAACAATCCAATAGTGTATCTAGTCTTCATATTTCACTTGTTGCCAAGATCTCATGTTTTGTCACTCATCAGCCCCATTTCCCTTTCTAGTAGTTAAGATCCCAGGTTTTGTTACTCTTTGAAGGGTAAAAAGAACACAGTGTGATAAAGAAATGGGTTTTATGACATGTGGAAAGTGGTAGTCAAATATGTCTTAGCTTAATAATAACAGTGGTATGTATGTGTGTGAGTACTTCTACAGATACATGCACACACTGTATTTTTGGAAATTCAGTAGAAGAGCTAAACTTTCAATGGCATCCGTTTTTAACCAGACTATAATTTAGTTCTTGTTTTCTTTTCTTTTCTTTTTTTTTTTTTTATTTTGAGAGAAACAGAGAGAACAAGTTGGGGAGGGGCAGAGAGAGAATCCCAACTAGGTTCTGTGCTGTCAGTGTAGAGCCTGATGCGGAACTCGAACCCACGAACTGTGAGTTCATGACCTGAGTCAAAACCAAGAGTTGGATGCTAACTGACTGAGCCACCCAGGCATCCCTAGTTCTTTTTCCTGTTGGAGTTTTCTCCCTAGATCTGCACTGTTCTAAAAAGGTAACTATTACCCACACGTGGCCACTTAAATTTAAATCGTATTTTATTAAAATTAAATAATATGTAATGGAGAGCCTGGGTGGCTCAGTTGGTTAAGCATCCAACTTCGGCTTAGGTCATGATCTCAACAGTCTATGAGTTCGAGCCCTGTGTCGGGCTCTGTGCTGACAGCCTGGAGCCTGCTTCGGATTCTGTGTCTCCCCCTCCTCTCTCTGCCCCTCCCCTGCTTGTGCTCTGTCTCTCTCTCAAAAATAAACATTAAAAAAAAATTAAATAATATTTAAGATTTATTTTCAGAGTTGTGCTGGCCACATTTCAAGTGTTCAGTGGGTGTAGCTGGTGGCTACAGTATTGTATAGCATGGAATAGAATGTTTCCATCATTGCACGAAGTCCTATCGGATAGCATTGCTTCAGAAGATTATATGCTATTGTCTCTGTCTCTAGATGGAGCTGTAGATGCTTAACGTTGTTTGCATTGAATTTTTTGGTGGGATAATTGAACTTTTGTCAGGGTGTTTCTCTGCTTCAGAAGGTAACTAAATATTAATGGGGTCTTTATTCTTTTATACCGAAAGTATTCTGAGGTAAATGGCAGAGTGTTTGGAGGGCTGCAAGCACTGCCTTTCTTTTTAACACATTTGTATGCATATTGAAAAGTGTTTTGTAGAGCACAACTGGTTTCACTTGATCGGCATAACCTGTGGACTAGCTATCTACAACTCCACAGTGGTTGATCTCCACTTCCCATTGGCTCTCTACAAGAAGTTACTGAATGTAAAGCCTGGCTTGGAAGATCTAAAGGAGCTGTCACCCACTGAAGGAAGGTACAGAACTAAAAGATAGGCAGATTGGTGTGGGGAATTGCTCTGGCTACCTGTGGCACAAGGATTAAAGGTTGAAAATACCTCACGGACAAGCTTGAGCTTATCAAGACATAGGGCTAGACTCTTAAGATGCAGATGCACCACTCCTTGCTTGAAGCATTGCTGGTGGCACCCCAAGGGCAGAGGGGAAAAAAGGAAAATGGAGGTCATAGTTGCCCAGGGGTACCAAATAATCCCAACCTTCCTTATCCTGAACAAAAAATGAAGACTTAGAGACTCGTCATGGTCCAGAAATACAGAGGGAGAAAGTATTGAAAAGGGAGCATTAAAAAAGTTTTTTAATTGAGATATAATTCAAATACCATGGTACTTATTTAAAATATAAATTCAGTGACTTGTAGTATATTCAGATTGTATAGCTATCACTGCAATTGTAGAATATTTTCATCACCTGAAAGAGAAACTTGGTGCTCCTTAGTTGTCATCCCGTCTTCTCATCCCCAAGCCCTAGACAAGAACTAACCTAACTTTCTGTCTGTGTAGACTTGCCTGTTCTGAATATTTCATATAAATGGAATCATGTAATCTATGGTCCTTGGTGTCTGGCTTCTTCCAAACCCAGCATGTTTTCAAGGTTGATCCATGTTATAACATGTGTCTGTACTTCATTGCCTTTTATTGGCAAATAATATTCCATTGCATGGATATATATCACATTTTGTTTACCCGTTCATTAGTTAATAGTTGATGGAAATTTGTGTTGTTTCCACTTTTTGGCTATCACGGATGATGCTACTGTGGACATTCTTGTACAAGTTTTTGTGTAGATGTAAGTTTTCATTCCGCTTGGGTGTATACCTAGGAGTCAAATTACTGGGGCCATATAGAAGCTCTGTGTTTAGTCTTTTGAGGAACTGCCAAACTGTTTTCCAGAGTAGTGGAGCCATATATATGTATATATATGCCATATATATACACACCCATTTTGATATTTATTTTTGAGAGAGAGAGAGAGACAGAGACAGAGACAGAGCATGAGTGGGGCAGAAGCAGAGAGAGAGGGAGACACAGAATCCAAAGCAGGCTCCAGGCTCTGAGCTGTCAGCATAGAGCCCGATGCGGGGCTTGAACTCATAGATTGTGAGATCATGACCTGAGCCAAAGCCGGACTCTTAACCATCCGAGCCACTCAGGCACCCTTTGGAACCATATTTTTTTGTTGTTCTCTTTCTGGCTTTTAAAACCCCTTTTCTTCTGAGTGTTTCTGCCTTGATTTTAGTTAGCATAAGATCACATATATTTTAAAAAACTTGTTTCTTTGGATTTTGGTAAACAGTATAATCCTTTTGGCTTCAATAGGAAGGAACATCCCCTTTTCTAGAAAAGAGTACTGATTTTAAGATGGAGACAGAGGAAGTGTGATTTCTAAGGTACCCTCTGGATATGAGAATGCCACACCACCTGGGTTGGACATACCACTGAGAAACCATAAAGGATAGGAGGGATGGGTGCATAGAGAAGAAGAGAAAACTTTAGAAGGAGTTTCAAAAAAATAGTAGAGGAGACCCTGGCAGGGGGTAACTGAAGGAAAAGGCTAGAGAGTAGTTGAAGTGTGTGCTATATACTTTGCCAGCCTGGCTAAGGATAGATTTCAAGTAATGATTTTGGGTGGTTAACTGGGAGTGGATTTAAACTCCACACTAGGAATTTTCTTCCTGGGCCACTCTTGATGGAATTGTCAGACTTGGAGCTCACTAAAGAAGAGAGTGTGAATGAGGTCTGGTTACAAGGATGTATTCTCTTGAAAGCTAGGATGTGAACGTTACTGGCATAAACATATTCTTGTTTTCAGGGTACATGTTTGTGTTCTTTAGTATGACAGACACTAGAGTGTCTTTACCATACAGAGCCCCTTGCATTAACAAGTAAGCCATTACGATTCCTACGTAGATGAGGTGACTTTGTGGCTTTTTTATGATGGAAGGTTATTCTAATACATGTGGATGAAGACATTCTGTAGGGCCACTGCAGTACCATGTTCTCATATGGACTTCCAAGCAATACCAGGGTTAAATGAACACAGGTATGTCAGATCTAAATCCATCATCGTTTCTTCACAAATCCAGTAAGACTTGTCAGTGGGAAAAGAGAACAATTAATGTCTTACAGGTCTACTGCCATATTTTTTTTTTTCAGGTATAAGTAACACAATTTTCTGTCAGTCTGGATTGATGTTTGTCCTAGAATCTTCTTTTAGTTTTTCCTTGCAAACAATCTGGATATATGACTGAGGTAGAAACCCTGTTGCAGTATCTAACTTGCCTCTTTTCATTTCTCCATTATTCTATGATTAGGAGTCTTCAAGAACTTTTAGATTACCCTGGGGAAGATATTGAGGAGACTTTCTGCCTCAATTTCACGGTAAGGATTTCCACAGTTTACTTCTGATTGTGGCATTCTCTTTCATTGTGCTCACAAGTCATAATTAACATTTAGTTTTTCTCCAAATCAAAGAATAAATTCACGGTCTCCTCTGAACAAATTTTATTTTAGTTATAGTGTCTTGAGTGTTAAAGGAGCTGAGTAAATATGTTTAATACATGAGTGAATGATTCATCTGTGTAAAGTTACTGAAACATTAATCCTCTTTACTCTTGATACATAGATTTCTAGAATTGATATCATTTTCTCTTTGATTGCATTTATTGGCCACTGCATGTCTTAAAACACAGGATATCTTTTAAGGTGCCAATGTTTTCTGAATCAGGTTCTTTCTCTTTCCCAAGAATTTTCTGTATTATAAGTAGTGATTAAGCTACATTTGTTCCTAAAGCTTCTCGCAGTCATTTGGATTCTAGAAAGATAAGTGGTGAACACAATTGACACATCTCTTTTTTTCCCTCCTTAAATATAGATTTGTCGAGAAAGCTATGGAGTGATTGAACAGAAGAAGCTGATACCTGGGGGAGACAAAGTGACTGTGCGCAAGGAAAACAGGTTAGTCCTGACCTCGGACTATTGTATATGTTGCTACTTTATTTCTCTGCACTTTTAAGACCAAGATTGAAGTTAATCCTTAATCCCTTCTGCAGAGGAAGCAAGGGTAACAGAGCAAGAATTTGCAGATTGTAATTAATTTTTAATATTAGAGGAAGCACGAGACCAAGATTCAGGAGATAACTGTTGTAGATCTAAAAAACCAGACCTCTTCTTGCATCCTTTCACATTTTTAAAGACAGCTAGAAGATCGTGTGGTCTCATGTAACATTCAGTAACCTTCTCTGTCATGTTAGCTTTCCAGACTAGGAAGCCTCACCTTTGGGGAAAGTAAGTGCCCAACAAAAGTGGCTTCAGATGATGAAATTACCTTGACTCCAGGAACCTATTATAGAGGCTACTCTTATGTCAGGTAGGGGTTTCAACCAAAACTCAGTAAGAATCTCTTGGAGCTAAAAGTACTGTCCTTTTGTTATCTGCATAACATTGGTATTTTGTTAACAGCTTATGATCCACTTTTTAAAAAATATATAAACAGGCTTATAGGGGCAGTTGGGTGGCTTAGTTGGTTAAGCGTCTTGACTCTTGATTTCAACTCAGGTCATGATCTCAGTTCTTGAGTTCAAGCCCTGCATCGGTCTCTGTGCTGTCAGTGCAGAGCCTGCTTGGAATTCTGTCTCCCTCTCTGCCTGTCCCCGGCTTATGTGCACTCACACTCTCTGTCTCTTAAAAATAAATAAATAAACTTAAAAAAAAACCAACAGCTTATATATTCCATATAATCTGATAATATTTTTAGAATTGGAAATTTATGACAGATCATAGAGGGGAGTTTTTGGCCCAGGAGATTTCTCTTTTAGTTTTGATGATTGTTTTATAACCTATGTATGTAGGTATCTGCCTTTAGTTTTTCAAAGGATGTCTGAGCTTTTGTATCAGGTTTCAGACAAGATAATGTGTGCATCATTTTTTAGAAGCTAACAATGGGCTAGGCAGGAGGCCCAAGGAGGGGAACATTCAGAATGTCTTTATGTTATGATGAGTCATCATAAAGCTCTCTGTTTGATATACTGGGTTGGGCAGTGGTCTAGTGCAGGCATAGGCGATTTGTGATGTAGTCTGCAGTCGACGCAGTTGGGACTTACAGCTCTTTCATATCTTTATAAAAGCATTTCTCTTAAAGTACTTTTTGTCTCTGCTTTTTTTCCCTCTCTCTTTCTGGGTGAGTTTTTCTCTCTTTGTGTCTCTGCTTCTCTCTCTGTCACCCACTATTTGTCCTTATTCAATAGACATTTCTTTGAATCAACAATTGGATTGAATAGTTCAGAGACAAGCTACGCAGGAATACTGAAATATAACACAGTTTGTTTAGGGTGTAAGCTGTTCTCACATGCAACCGTATTTTGGAAGCGAAATAAAAAGACTCATTTGGGTGGTTGAATCTAAAGGAGTTCGGAGAAATCAACTTGGGACAGACGTACCTGTGCACCCGGGAGGACAGATACAGCATAGAGCTAGGTTAGGAAGCCTACTAAGATTGAATAACAGATAGAGGCAGAGACCACAGTAAAAAGTGAAAGGTGCTCTGTAAAGTGGTGGCTAAATCTTTGTTGTTATTTCAGGGAGAGAACAGTGACTGAGTGGAGCGTGGGGGGCATTGCTGGGGGACTTCATTTGGAGGACTCACACTAGCTTAGCCTTGGGGGTTAGTTTGTAGAAGTCTTTGGAAATTAGGTGTGGACTTCATTCAGCAGGTAGTAAGACACCACTGTTGGTTTGTGAGCAGAGGAGTTGCATGATAGAAATAGGTTCCTGGGACACTTTCTTTTTTCTTCTTCTTTTCTTTCTCCACTGTTTATATCTGTTGCTGACACATACACACTCACGGACAATGCTTAAGCCCAAGAGTGGTGCTGAGTCAGTGTGGAAGAACGTGCTTCTCTTTACAAGGCATGTGGGTTCCTGTCCTCCTCCTTTGCACTTGTTTGACTCTAATTGACTTCAGGGATGCTCCTACAACACATTTTTCAATAAGGATGTTCTGATGGCACACAGTTTCCTTAAAGGAACGATAATACATAAATTTAAGAGAGTAAAAAGAAGGAAACCCACATCATTCTTTAACTTGTATTGTGAAACTCCATTATTCTATTACCATGACGTTCTAAAAAGTAGCTTCAGAAGTGTTCAAGTCTTTGTACAATGCAGACTGCTATGGTTTTAAATATTGCCGGGCAGAGTGTGGCGGATCCCTGCTTAGATTGCCAGTATACTGTGTTTGAGTTTAAAGTGTGGAACAGCTTCTGTCTTTGGTGAAGTTTAGGTTTTGGCTTTTCTGGGTCACTAGCACTCATTGAGCACATAGCGAACTCATCCATGCTGTTTTAGGCGTTATTGTACATGGCTTTGTAGTTGTGTCGGGAGGCAGACCTTGTTTCTGTCACACAGTTACCTATTAGAGAAGCTTCTGAGAACTTAGTGTGATTACTGCCACATTACTTAGTATCACTGTCATGGTTAGGGACAACTAGAGAGACACGAGTGAATTTCTATTCTTTTTATTTTATGCTGCAAATGTAGAAATCATATCAGTAAAACATTTTGAGATCCTTGTAAGAAATGTTGCCTACAACTGTGCAAGATTAATCATTGCAGCTGTTTTTTCCTTTTGTCTATTATATGTCATAATCTCATCAGAGAGGATTGGGGTCCTTTTGGTTATTTATTAGATGGGTCTAAGAAAAGTAGATAAAAGAACTATATAAGAATAATACCTTCTGGATTTTAACTTGGGCAGTTGAGTACACAGATACTGCTCACATTGAAGTTATTTTTATTGACTTACCAGTTAGTTATTTGCTGTCACCGCTGCCCTGGAGGAAAATGCCAGAAAGGTACCAATTCTTAATCCATAATTTATTGTATTCCATTTGGTCTTAAAATTTCATTCTGTCCTTGGATAAGAGCTTCAGACAGGCAAATGAGTTACAAGCATCCAAGTAAAAGAATATCCGTGGGTGATTGCTGGTGGCTACACCCTAGCCAAATCTTGCCACAGCTGGTAATCACATCTGGATAATGACCACTCATGGTTAAGTATTTCTCATACTGTGTAACATGGTGTTATTACCATTAATGAAAAATGTATGTATCATTCTAGATTCCCCCAAATTGACTTCAATTTAATGTAGTCAAATTAAATGCAGTTGATGTCTTCCCCCATTTCTGTCATATCAAAAGAGGGATGGGGAGCGTAGTAAAAAGATCACACAGTGAGGCATGCCAGGCTTAAAGTAGGTGCTCCAAAGAGCATCCTGATTCCATAGAAAGAACCTGAGAATAAAACTCATACATGACAAACACTTCCAGGTCCTTAACATCTACTGAAGTTAGGACTGCTCAAAGACTTGAGTTGATCTCTTCAGATGGTCTCTAAGAGGTGTAATCTTTAAGATCTACCTTGTATTTGCATTGGGCTGTTACGGGAATAGCAGATGGTTAAAACGCCAGTAACATTTCTTGAGTACTTAATATTTGTCCAGCACTATACTAAGAACTTCAGATGTAATCCTCTCCACTTTACAGATGCAGAAACTGAGCCAGAGAGAGGCATAAGTAACTGTTCAAGGTTACACAGCTAGAAATCTAGGATTCAGAGCCAGAGGCAGGATTCAAAGCCAGGCATTTTGAGTGAGAGCCTGTGCTCCATAAATGTCAGCACATTGCCCCATAGATGCCAAGACCAGAACTTGAGTTTCCATCCACCACCCCCTCCCTAACCCAGTATGAAAAATGACGTAGAAGAGTTTGCTATTTTCCTTTCAGGAACACTATGCAGTTTGAAAAAAAGGTTGGCTTAGGTGAAAATGTACTATATATGTGTAAAATTATATGTCTGAATTTTTAAACTTAGCTTGAGACGATGCTTATATTTAGCATATCATTACAAAGCCCTCATGGATACCTTTAATAATGACTACACAGTCTGCCTTGTGAATGTGTGTGTTCTGTTCTCTCACTTTGGGGTATTTGGCTTCTATGTTCTTTTTTATTTCTCTCCTTCCTCCTTCATTTTTAATAAGACTTTTCAAGCATCTTTTGTGTATAAAGCTTTCTTTGTTTGCCTTTAAAATTGCTTTTTTAATGGATAATATCCCAAGGATGAAATTGAATTAGTGTATATCATTTTGAATCAGTTGATAAATGTTTTTGCTAAATTGATTTTGCTAATGAATTATATACAACTTACACGTTATCATCAGTGTATGAGAGTACTCATTTTACCTAATCCTTATAAGCACTAAGTATTCTCCTAAAAAAAATAATAAATTATCTTGCATTTGTAAAATTTTGCATTTCTTCCACACATAGTCTACTTTACATATTCTGCACAGCTTTGATGCATTTTACTGTGAATTAGATAGAAGTGGACAATATTGTGAATGTACTAAATGCCACTGAATTGTTCATTTAAATGGTTAATTTTATGTTATGTGACTTTCTCCTCAATAAAAAATGTTTGTGTACATGTGTGCACGTGCAAATGTGTCTCTGCGTCTGCCTTGAGTGTTAACTCTCTGGCAGGGAGAACTGCTGTGTCATGCTTAGGATGCGACACTTTTCTGCGTAATGCTCTGAGAGACTGAATTGAATGTGTAATGCATGTTGCTTTTCTTTCTGCCAGTTATTTTGTGCTTTAGTGACAAATTTGGGCATGTAATGGATTAAAAATGGTTTCTGAGTGATAATGTTTGACCCATCTTAAAGGCAGGGTATCCTGCTAGACGTAAACATGCAAGTTCTATGGCTGTCGGAGAAACTATCAAATGAGCAGTGCAGGAAACAGAGGGTAAAGATCAACTCAGTTGGGAAACGGTGGAAATTGACTGACATTGGTGAAAGGCATCGTAAACACCCCTGTATCCTGGGAAAGTGGCCAACAGTGGTGTGACTAGTAGCTAGAAAACCCTACAGCTAAAGTCTTACCATAAGTGGAAGAAAGACTGCTGGCCAGAGCACTCGGCTGGGAATGCGTGTATTCCAGACCTCGCTGGAGCCCTGGTCAACCTAGTGCTGCCCTCTTGGGATATGTCTTTCTGCCCCAGGCAGGGTTGCAGTATTTCCTCTTTTTAAAGTAGTCTGCTGATGTCCTGTATGTATTTCTGTATTGGGACTAAATGATTTTCGTATGATTTGTAGGAACTCTATATTACATTAAGACTATTTTTTGTAAATTGGACTCCTGTTTGCTTTTGGAAATGTGGAGTGCTTGTGTTTAAATTTTTATAATTTATTAGTTTGTGTGTTGTCATGTCTGTTACTTCTTTTGGTCTTATATTACTAATCTCAGTCTTCCCCTGCCCAGTAATTGATAAATACATCATGTATTTTCTTCACTTAAAAAAAATTTGGGGGGGGACCTGTACTCTAAGGTGAAAGCTTGAATTGTTTCCATATTGGTGGTTTCCTTAGCTATTCATACAGGTGAACATTAGGTTAATTATATTAAGGTCCAGATTCAGTTTGGGTTTTGATTTGATTGTGATAAATTAAAAGTTAATTTGGGCATAATTGTCACTTTTGTGATATTCAATCTTACCATCCAAAGACCTTAACGTTTGTTTCTTTGTTTTTCCTTTTCACATAGGCTATACGTATTTTTTGTTAGAGGTTTTTATAAATATTTTGATTTCTTCTTTCTATTCTGAAAGTGTCTTTTCATTTATACTGATCATTATTAGTACCTACAGATAGTTAATGGCTTTTGTATATTTATCCGGCAGCTCGTCAATTTCTCAAACATATTCAGTATTAATAATTTTCAGCTGATTCTCTTGGGTCTTCTGTATATAATTACATGAATGCAAAAAAATTTTCCCCAATAATTACACTCCTTATTTGTTGCATTCATTTTTTCTTTTTACTAGATGGACCTAGAAAAATATTAAACAAGTCTCTTATTTCTAGAGATAAGAAATAAATACTGAGTTTCATTAGTTTTTTTTTTTTTTTTTTTTTTTTTTTTTTTTTTTTTTTTTTTTGCTTCTGTTAATATAATCTTTGACTTCTTATGTAAATATGTTATTTTGATTTTCTCTTTTGGTTGGCCTGGCCCTAAGGATGATTAATATTACATTAAGGTTCATTTAACTCTACTATTGCCATTAGCAACAGGTCAGAGCTGCCTTCCAGTCCTTAAGGTAAAGCAGTCTCATTTCGCTTCTGCATAATTTTAACCCTTAAAAGAAATGGAAGAAAATGCATTTCAGTTTTTTATTTTGGGTGTGTGTGGGGGGGGGTCTTTAATTTTAAACTATTTTTTCTTCATTCAGAATGCCCAAATGTAAAGTTGAAGTAGGCCTTTTTGTATATTTATAATATCACATTAAAAGTCTTTTATCTCTTCTGGGAGGAATTCAAAACCTGATTTTACACTGAGGAGACCAAAACGAGACAGTTTATTGAATTTCCAGTTTCTGAATTAAAAGCCACATTCTTCTCTGATGAAGAATCATAAACTTAAGAATACAATGTTGTCTATTTTCTCCCCTTTTGTACCTGGGGAGGGAAGGAGGATTGAATTTCCAATCAGTGTCTTTATCTTTCATGTAATAATAAAACAATAATAAAATAATAATAATAGCTGAATTTCTTGAAGCACTGAGTATGTGTCAGATACTAGCCTACACTTTGTGTATTAACTGACTTTTCATAATTGTGAGGAAGGGACTGTTACTATCCCCTTTTATAGAAGGAGAAACTGAACACAGACCAACTGAATTGCCTGAGGTTCATTGCTTACAAGAGGCAGAGCTGGGATTTAATTCCAGGCAGAGTATTCTGAATCCTTTTGTTTTTTGAAAATAGTTTTATTAACACTACAGTGGTAAACAACTTTATGCTTGTTTCTTCGTAGATCACGGAGTCACACAAAATTCAAAACCCACAAAGAAGCTAAAAGTCTTTACATTAAATGTGTCCTTCCTAAAAATCCTTAACTGTATGTCAGTCTATCCTCAAGCAGTAAAATTTGAATATGCACCATTTTTTATTTAATATGTCACATTTACATAGCAAAATAATGAAGGCACAGCTAATACAAGCAAACTTAAACCCTTCTACTTCTGAGCTGGGGGTGGGGACACACTTGGATTGGTTCTTCAAGTATATATTTTTTCCAAACATTAGCTTCGTTGAAGAGTTCTGGTAATTTTCACAGCTACATTCTAAAAGCTACATGACAAAAGACTTCACAAGGATCAAACTACATAACACTGAATACACATGCTTTACAGAATTGGCTACATTCTACATCTTTTCAAGTAAATTAATATTTCTAGAATGCTAGGTAAAAGGATTTAATACTTAAACATTTTGGGTTTGTTTTTTTTACACCTTTGTAAATAGACACTACCAAGAAAACACATAAACATGAGACTGTAAATAACAAACACGTATGTTGACAATATTATACAGGTTATACACCCTCCTTCTCAGAACCATGTTGTTTCTCTAAATTCAAATATTCAGAACATTCTTTAGAATTTGAAGTGGCAGTTTTCCAGGCCTCATTAAGCAGTCCTGTCATGATCTCCATCACAGGCTTCCTCCATTCCTCACTCTTCTCTCAAGTGTAAAGCTGATGTCTGGGTTACAAAAGCAAAGTCTTAAGATGAGAGTCTTGGGTTCTGCTTTTCCTGCACTGGAAAATGTCCAGACTAAAGAAACTGAAGAATTAAACATTGAGAACATGTTCAGTCTTGGCCTGGGTGTTCCGTGTGTAGTGTGATGGCTGTGGGATGAATAGGTTTCAAAGTGACATTCTTTACTTCACATCTACTTGACACCCTTACTAAGCCTCAGTTGCAGTCCTCACAGAAGAGATCATGAAAAACTCATTTTAAATTTAACTCGTTTTCCTCAACACCTTTTGATATATTTATTGTTTCAAAATGAAAATCAAATTTGAAACGGGCTGGCCAGGATCTGATTGCTTCAATTTAATATTAGGAATGTCAGTATTGATTCGTTGTATTTTGGTCCCAAACCTGAGCCTTATTTTCAAGTCCACCAATATTCAAAAAAAAAGAAAAGAAATAGGGTATTTGTTTTCCGCGTCATTCTCTTCAGAATCTCTGCCCCCGCTTATTTCTTGGCGTCATCAGACACCTCAGAATGGGGACCCTCATCTTTGGCAGCGGCCGCCTCCGCAGCAGCCTCTGCCGCAGCTTCCTCCTCCTCCTCCTCCTCCTCTTCCCCCTCCTCCTCATCCTCGTACTCTTCCTCGTCGTCGTCCTCCTCCTCCCCTTCTAAGGTCCATGCACATCCCTCCATCTCACCAGTGAGCTCTTGGATCTTGGCAAGTAGGGGCTTATAGATGTCGTTATACTTTTTTTCCAGAGCCTGAAATTCCTTATCAAATTTGGCTTCTATCTTATCGCATCGTTTCTGCAGCTTTTTAAGGGCCAGGACTCGGCATTTCACCGAATTAGGCAGGCTCTCGATAAAGTCATTTTTCGGCTTTGGTGCATTCTCTGCTGGGGTCTGGGGCTCCTCGGCCGTCTGACCAGCCGCGCTGTCGGAGTCGCCAGCCGCGCTGTCAGAGTCTCCCCCCTGCGCACCGCCTTCCGCCATTACCTCCTCTGCTGCGGCCGCCTCCGCTGCCGCTGCCGCCGCCGCTGCCGCCGCCGCCTGGCTTGCCTCCGCAGGTCCCTGGTTTTCCGAGTCGGCCATGTTAACAGGAGAAGCTGCAGAGGTCTAGGGTGGCTCCCGCAGAGACCTGCACCCGAGCTGCACCAGAGATATCTTGAGGATGCGGCAAGTGGCGGTGACGTCGGCCGCGGCAGTGACGTCGGCCGCGGCCCCGCCCTTTTATCGCCAGCCCTTGACTGGCTCTCTACAATCAGCTGATGGTCTTGCCCCCATACTGCGCCAGCTTCCCCCTGTTGCTACCCTGCCATCTCCTTGGCACTGCAGCTGACGTCAGAACCTGTTTCTTGGATACCCTGCCCCCAGTCTGCCCACATACCTTCCCCCCTGTTGAGCTGGGCTGGGAATGACAGCAGTACCCAAGGCCCCCTTTCAGGAATTGCTTCAATGGCCTCAGTCTTTCTCAGTTTGCTGCTCTATCCCACTCAGGTCCTTGTATACAACTGTCAGTGTATCTGTCTTGGCCTTTGTCTGCACGACCCCACAACTGGCGTTGGTTGGGTGTCTCTGGCTTACTCTTGTGGAGTCAGCTTCGATCACCTCTCAGATTCCTATGAAGTCCTGTACAGAAAGCGAAGGCACTGTAGAACTAACTGTACCCCTCTGGGGTCCTGGGTGCATGTGTGTGGAGAGGGCAGTTTGCATGTCCATCTGCCCACTTAATAGCCCTTCTTGATCATTCCTCAGTTAGCGGCCTATGTATTGGTGGTAAAGTCTTCTCTCGGCTAGCTGGATCTTGGAAACCGTTTTGGAGCCATTTGGATAGGGAATCTCAGGACCGTTGGTATTCTGGAATGTGTTCTAGAAGTTCCCTCAGAAATCTTTGGCCCGTGGGCAGGAATAAAGCTGAAGGACCAAAGAAAAGCAAGGCCTTAGAAGGTGTTAGAAGCCTTAGGCCCAGGGTAAGGGCAGCATCCTATCCATGTGAATGCATGTATTAAGTACTGTGGTTTATGGGGGACACACAGACACACATGTGTACACACAGACATTGTCCCCAAGGCACTCCATAGTTGAGTATCTGCTTTGTGGTCTTGCTGGGGATTTGTATCTGAGAGCATTTTTAAAAGGTCTTAAAAAGGGAACTCTCCTTCTTTAAGAGCAAGATGAGAGTAGTCATTTTATTTTACTTCCTTACCTTGCTTATTAGATAGACCAAAGTGATAGCTTCTTGAATAAGGATGAGGACACATATTTTAGGTATGGAAGAAGATAAATGATCCTTCTTGGTATTTCTTAGGAATAGTTTCAAATTCAGCATTATTGGTTTAATTTTTTTTTTTTTTCCAACGTTTATTTATTTTTGGGACAGAGAGAGACAGAGCATGAACGGGGGAGGGGCAGAGAGAGATGGAGACACAGAATCGGAAACAGGCTCCAGGCTCTGAGCTATCAGCCCAGAGCCCGACGCGGGGCTCGAACTCACGGACCGCGAGATCGTGACGTGGCTGAAGTCGGACGCTTAACCGACTGCGCCACCCAGGCGCCCCAGCATTATTGGTTTAAATGCTTCTCTTTCAGTGTACTGGAACTTGCTGAAGCTCTTCCATCAAGCATATGAATGTTAGGAAATTACTTCCTAAAGTACAGTTGGTGCTATCTTGTGGTTTTTATGAATATTAAATTAGATAATAATATGTAAAGCCCTTAGTGTTGACATGTAGCAAGCACTTGATGTATTGGAGTGTTTTTTTTTACAAGTTAATTACATTCATTAATATGCAGAGATAACCTGCAATAATATTCCTTTTTAGAAAAGGACATTTTTGGGGGTGCCTGGGTGGTTCAGTCAGTTAAGCCTCCGACGTTGGCTCAGGTCATGATCTCACGGTTTGTGGGTTCGAGTCCCACATCAGGCTCTCTGCTGTCAGCGCAGAGCCCACTTTGGATCCTCTGTCTGCCCCTCTCTCCGCCCCTCTCCTGCTCCTACTCTCCCCAAAATAAAAACAAACATTAAAAAAAAAAAAACAGATATTTTTGTGCCCTTCCCCAAAGAAAAGAACCTTTTACAAAAAGCCCAGTATATTCCCATTAGCAAACATCCTAGTTTTTTAAATGTATTTGTGATTCTTATTGTGTATTTTACTTTCTTATTTGTGCTTCAGATAATTTACTTTTTTTTTGTTACCATTTGTAGTGACAGGTCTTATTGTTAAGGCTGAAATTTCAGCTTAGCTGAGTTTAAATGTGATCATACATCTATATTTAGTTGGCTGACACTATACGTATTCCACGTATCACGTTATTAGTGGAAGAGAGATAATAAATTGAGAAGGCACTCAGAGACCAGAAAACGAAGGAGGCCACTCCATGCAGTTTACACAGAGTTGTATTCAGGGTAACTTACTGATGAGGGATCCGATGGTGGGCGAGCTGCAGAGTTATTCTCCGCAAAATCCAGATGTTAGTCCCCTGATTTTATAGGGCGAGGAGACAGGTAGATGGGCATTATAGTGAGAGCAGAGGGTTCCCATATACCTATATAAATGGCTTGCGTGCACCTGACAGCTAACCTATAACTTGTGGAACCATCTGTACATCAGGAAGGGGAAAGACCATGTTATCTCTATCAGATTCATGGGAGGCCAAAACAAGCCTCCCCCATAATTTTAAGGTATGTGTGTTAATCTCCAAGGGCCCGGAGCACGTATTCCCCGAGAGTAGTCACTGAGCAAACGTGAACAAGGTGGAGGACCAAAGATGGAGTCAGTATTGTCAGCAATCCTACCCATATATTCCATTTATCATCTCTTAATGGTTGCATTTACCTTGAGGTTAGGAATGCTTTCTCTCATTTTAAAGGTAAGGAACTTGGAAGCAGAAAAATAAAGTGAAATATTCTGTTACTGTATGTATTACTTGATTGACAGAATCAGAGGCAGAAACCAGGCCTCTGACTGTAGTGTAGAAGTTGTGACAGACTTTTTATAAAAAGCCAGAATTTTAATAAAATCCATTGACTTCCTTGAGTTGGCTGAGACAAACAGGATGTGCTCATCTTACAGGAATTTTATTTTGCCATCTTAAAAAATCTTAAACTTTAGTGTTAAGCTAGGCTACTTTTTTCAAAAAGGTCTTTTGTTGAGATATAATTTATTATATTTTACATATAATAAAAATACAATTTAATTATTAATTTATGTGTAATAAAATTTGTCCTTTGCTTTGGCAGATACAGTCATGTAAACACTACACTGAGATGTAGAACAATAACATCATCCCAAAAAACTCCTTCATAGTCCTTCCCTTGTCAGCCCTGCTGACCACTGATCCATCTCTAAAATTGTTTTTTTCCCAGAATGTCCTATAAATGGAATCATATGTGTGTGGACTTTTGAGTCTGGCCTTTTTCACTCACCATAATGCATTTGAGATTTATCTGTGATGTTGTGTACACTAGTCATTTTTTTCCCTTTTTATTACTGAGTAATATTCCCATTTGGGCTGTTTCCAATGTTTTGTGATTATAAATAATGCTGCAGTGAACATAAGTTTTTACTTCTCTTGGATACATAGCTACAAGTAGAATTGCTTGGTCATATTTTAAACGTATATTTAGCTTTTTGAGAAAGTTCCACAGTGTTCCAAAGTGACTATGCCATTTTGTTTTCACACATACAGTAACGTATGAGCTATAGTTATTCCAACGGCATTTGGTTGTCGGGTTTTTCCCCCTTAATCTAATAGCTGTGTATAGTATCCTAAACGATTAATGATGTTGAGTATCTTCCAATATACTTATGTGTCATTCATATGTCTTCTTTGATGAAATATCAGTTTATATCTTTTGCCCATTTTCTAAGTTGAGTTTTTTGTTTTCTTATTTTTTAATGGTTTTATATATTTTAGTTACAAGTCCTTTGTGAAATATGTGTTTTGTAAATATTTTTTCTAGTCCATGGTTTAGTCTTTTAATTTTTTTCAAAAAATAGAAATTTAAAATTTTGATAATTTTTTTGTCTTTTATGGATTGGGCTTTTGGTGTCATGGCTAAAAGATCTTTGCCAAATCTAAGGCCACAAAGATTTGTTCCTATGTTTTTTTCCAGAAGTTTTATAGCTTTCACATTTAGACTGTCATCCTTACTGATTTAGCTTTTATAGAAGTGTGAGGTATATGGATATATACCTTTTGCATGTGGATATCATGTTGATCCAGAACCATTTATTGAAAACACTGTCTGCTAAATTGCTTTTGCAAATTTGTTGAGAATTAGTTGACCATACTTGTGTGGGTATTTCTGGACTTTCTGTTGCATTGATTTATTTATGTGTCTATCTTTTTGCCAACAATACCCTTGATAGCTAACTTTGTAATAAGTCAAGAAATTAGGTAATGTTGAATTCTCTAACTTTGTTCTTTTTCAGTTGATTTGGCTCTCCTAGTTTCTTTACCTTTCTATATAAATCTCAGAATCAAATTAACAAACTTTTTTAAAGAACCTTACTACCATTTGAATCCAGACTTATACAAACCATTGGCAATGGATATAGTACTTGTTCTTTAAATTTATGTATTTTAAAATGTCACCTCGTTAAGAGTTGTCTCATTTTGTGGGCTTTATGGACTCTAGTGTATAATTGAGGCTGCAGTAACACAGAATTGTGAGTAACGTAGATGAGCTATCATGTTGTGAAAACTTTATCTCAGCATATTGTAATTTCTCATGTAGCTGTCACATTGGAAATGAAAAGAATCAAGGCAGGGGAAAGGGAGGACACTTAGATGAGGTGGTTGGGAGCACAGGTCTGTATTCAGACATCTGGCTTCAATTTCTGCCCCTGCCCATGTACCAACTGTTCGTCTTGGATTCAGTTCTGATATTGGAATAATGACAATTTACCTGAAAATTTTTGAAAATGGAAAATAATTCAAAATTTATCTCTGCGGCCTCAAGAAACTTTTTTAAAATTTATTTTTGCATATTTTTTTATTGGGACATTCTTCTACCATTAAATCCACTCAAAGAGATACACACTGAGATAGTGTGTATCTAAGAATTTATTGTAGTGATCAGTACCTAG